ACGAAAGGTGGCAACTGTATATATTATTGTTTTGCATAAAACATACAGTATTTTAAAAATTGCTTCAGAAGTATTACTTCGCAACTGGCCAAACTACTGGAGGCTTAATGAGTGTTTCCCAAGTTGGGGGGGAGGTTCTCTTCAGGCTTAAATATTTCCTGTTCTTGAATGGAAATTATTTAATTATTATGGCTAGAATTCTTACTGCATTTGCAGCACCTAAGTGACCTCTCCTCTCCAGGAGTGCAAAGAGAAAAAATGTCATGGTGCATCTGCATCAGCACAACCAGATGCCTTCATCTGCCCCACCTGCAACAAAACATGTCTCTCTCGTATTGGTCTCTACAGTCACAGCAGGCATTGCAATCTTTCAACAGTTTGACTTCACCCCCAAAATCTGCATGCCTTCCTTGTCTCCTGAAAGACGGATGCCAACAATCCTTAGCACACTTACTAGTGGAGAAATCCTATTGAAAGTAATGTAACTTAAAGGTAAAGGTAAAGGGACCCCTGAACGTTAAGTCCAGTTGCGGATGACTCTGGGGTTGCGGCACTCATCTCGCTTTACTGGCCAAGGGAGCCAGCATTTGTCCACAGACAGCTTCCCGTTCATGTGGCCAGCATGACTAAGCCACTTCTGGCAAACCAGAGCAGCGCACGGAAATGCAGTTTACCTTCCCGCTGGAGTGGTACCTATTTATCTTCTTGCACTTCAAACTGCTAGGTTGGCAGGAGCTGGGATCGAACAACAGGAGCTCACCCCATCCTGGGGATTCAAACAGCCGACCTTCTGATCGGCAAGCCCTAGGCACAGTGGTTTAGACCACAGCACCACCCGCGTCCCTGTAACTTACTTCTGAGTAAATATGCTTTCAATTGCTCTGCCCATCACTCAGAATACAGTGACATTGAATTTATGTAATTATAGCTCCTTATTGTTGAAGCTCCTGACAAAATCTTCCAAAACTGTGCTTTTCTCTAAGAATGTCAATTGATATAAAAGTCCTGAAGTAAGGCAGATGGAATTTTTAAAGGTAAAGACTTTAGCCTCAAGCAAGCTGTCTCAAGATTAGAAGAATGATTAAAACAAAAATAATTCAAGGCATAGATAAAAATTTGACAGATGTTTCCATTTCCTTGCCAATCCATTCTCCTGCATTTAGATACTGTGGACTAAACCAAGATGAGACCACTGAAAATACAATCAGGTAGATGGCAAGGAGAAATTATGTTCTCAGTATACCTAAGGGTATATTAGGTCAGGAATTTCTTATCCAACTGAAATATGTGGAGAATTCCATTAGCACAGAAATTAACAGGAAGCAGAATCTAAGTTAGATATGGCATGCAACATATTTATAGAGAAAACTGCAATGAAGCTTTAGCTTTTCCAGTAGACCCTGTTTTTAGGTGTCTTGGTAACAATATTCATAGCCTCTCCCATTAGTTTGACAATGTTTCATATGCCTAAAGCTCTATTTTAGATTGGTCCTTAAAAAATCGACTTGAAAACAAGATACTTTGGAGCATATGTTCTTAAGAAGTATGCCTGAGGTGTAGAATCTAAAATAATCTTACCATATTCAAACTAAAGGTTAGGATATTTTCTCACATTACATTTTGAATTTTGTACTTGTTCTAAACTCAAGGAGATAGAAACTATGATTAGACTTGCCTGTTAACAAAATGCATCACCAGAACTAATAGGTGCACAAAGAGGTGCAAGTAGGCATAAGCTACCTTGGCCTGGACACTACCATAAGTGTCCAGATCAAGAGAAATAATAGTGCTGCTCTATTCTACCTTAGTCACAGCACATGTGGGGTATTGTGCCCAATTCTGGGTACCACAATTTAAGAAGGGTATTGACAAGCTGGAACATGTGCACAGGATGGCAACCAAGTTGATTTAAAGAGTCTGAAAACCATGGTTTATTAGGAATGGCTGAGAGAGTTGGGTATGTTTAGCCTGGAAAAGAGGAGACTTGAGAGGAGATATAATACCCACCTTCAAATATTTAAGAGGCTGTTGCATGGAGGACGGAGTAAGCTTGGCTTCTCCTACTCCAGAGGATAGGACCTGAATCAAAGGATTCATGTTACAAAAAGAAGATTCCAATGAAACACCAGAAAGAACTTTCTGACAGTAAGAGCTGTTTATAAGTGGAACAGACTCCCATGGAAGGCGATGGTCTCTCCTCCCTTGGAGGTTTTTAAGCAGAGGATGGCGGTCTACTGTGGATGATTTAGAAGAGATCCCTGCATTGTTGGGGGTTGGACTAGATTACCCTGTGGCTCCCTTTTGACTCTACAGTTCTATGATTCTGTGATTTTATACCTCTTCCATTCCTAGATAATCCATTTTGAAGATAGAAAGCTACATTTTTATCTCTATATACAATAATCTGTATTTATTTTTTCCTTTGGGAGTTTTATATTTGGCCAACAGTGGGGAATGAAGGGTTAAAATCTGCTACTCCCCAAAGCCAGGGCCATGCCTGTTTTGATTCTGTTCTCTGTGAGAAGCCCTGCTTGGATTTCATAGTTGAGCACACCTGCTTCAAGTGCTTTCCTCACCCTTAATTTGAATTTTTATATGATATTTTTTTCACTATATTCACCTTCACCCTCATAGTACTTAACTGGTGATAATACTCACAGCATAATACAGCAGTGCTGCAGCTTGAAGAAACCTTTATTTTCCTTTTCGGCATGCCTTTTAATTTGATCAAACCAGTATGTATCTAGTGTGGAACAGATGGTATATATTTGGGAAAGTTTTAAAAGGGAGACGCTGAAACACAACTCCTCTAACTGCAACAAGGTTTTGCATATACTCATTGTACCATACCACTCTGATTAAAGTATCCATAGCAGTTCTATAGTTTTGGAATGTGAGTTGAAGTGATATTTCAGTAGGGAGAAAGTAAGCACCTCAGGACTAGTAATTAATGAATAACCTGGGGGGGGGGATCCCGCCCCATTGAGAGTTTCAGAACATCATCAACATCCCTTCCCCCTCAGTGCCCAAGAGGAAAAGTGTGTGTTGCTCCTGATGAGAAGTCCACAGGGCACAAGGCAGGAGTGGAGAGAGCTCCGAGGGAACAAATTGCTTCATCAAAAAGTGAAGGATATGTAGAAAGGCTGCTGGTTAATAGCCTGGCACTGTTCCTGGTTGTACAGGAAACCAACAGTTTTTTCTGTGGGTGCAAGGGACAAGAACCTGATTCAGGGGTCCCTGGCTCTAGGCCCTTGCCTGGTCCCCAAGGTAAAAATTATATTCTTAAGGAATAAATCAAGGGGTAGGTGTATGCATGCAAGTAGAATTGACAAGGCAACCTGCTCAATTCTGACTGTGAGGAAATGACCCCTGGAACCCTTGAAGAACCACTATGACCAACTGGCGGCACACTGAGAGACCTTGTTACTGATGTCCCCACCAGCGTCTAATGCCACCGCCTGTGATGTGCTATGGGATCACTTTCAGTTTATGCAACCTGATTGTGTAAATAAGGTGCTTGAATCCCTATGGCTCACCACATGCCCCATTGATCTCTGTCCCTTTGGGCTTATTAAGCCTAGAAGAGTTTTGACTGGTTGGGTCCTGAGCATGGCTAATTTTTCACTGTGTGAAGGGGTGGACGGCTACTCCTAAAGAAGCCTAAAGAACTTTTAAAGAAGTTTCACTCCTAGTAAAGCAGCAGGTATGCAGCCTAGGGGTCCAAATTTGTCACTGGAAGGCCAGGTGCCCCCAGTGGCTAGAAGCACCTTTTATTAGTTCTAGCTGGTAGAGCGGTTGCAACCATTCAGTACTGATCGGTTATTTTAAAAAATCCACCACCCTGCCAATATATATTTAAATGATTTATTTTGCTATGTTTAAACTGCTGAGAACTGTATTGCCATGTCATCTGCCTTGTGGAACATGCTGCCCCTTGAAGTTAGATAGGCTCCCCCATTTCACAGATTTTGCTGGATGTTTTAAAACTCTCCTATTTTCTACAGGCTTTGCCAGAAGGATAAGTTGACAATCTTACATTTTTCTTTGGAAAACTGTTTTTATCTGTTGTTGTACAACACTATGGTAATTTGCAAGTTTTGATGGTTTATAAATATTCAAAGAGAACTGTGAAAAACAGTGAATAGCTGTGGTCTGAACTGCACAGTAGTCCAAAAGCTGTGGGTCAGGTCTTATTTCATATAGGAATTTGCAAAGATCCAATTCCTCAAGCATCCCTCAGTAGGTACTGTGCTGTCAAGGTGAGAATTTGTCCTTTTATATGCAAGTGTAACCTTGCCAATGCAGCATAAAGGATAACAGGAAGAAGGAAGCAGAGAAGATGAGAATCACAGAGCTGCCTAACAGCATTAGTTCAACTTTATTATGAAAGTGTTTTTAAATTCATGTAGGGATGTAGAGAAAATGAATCACATCTGAGTGTCTATTATTTTTTGCATCTGGATATCACTAGGAAGTAACTGGACATAAATTTTACACTGATTCCAGACTGAGAAATACTGTATGATGGGTTAGCAGCAATCACCAGATCACTTCTGACAGAGAACTACTATGGGGACTTGGAAAACTCACATCAGTGCTTTAAGTCTTTGAACCAAAATCACCTGTGTGGAATTTACTACACTTGACATCCTGAATCTGAAATTATTCCCTAGCTATGCAAGGTCAGCTCTCCTCCTCAGAGAAATTGTAATAATAATAGCAGAAGGGACTGCTATATAATTGTTAAGGTGACATATATTCAGGGGACTCTTTGGGTCTATTTCATTGGCTCCCAGCCCTGAAATGTCATATATTCATAAACTCTGTGATAAACTTGACTAACAAAATGACAGGCCCAATTTCAGGTTATTGTGGGTCCTGAACATACACTGTTACACACACTGGGGCAACTGAATGGATGAGATGGTCTTCTCTCCTAGCTTGGCAGTGATTGCTGCTGTTGCTCCTGCTCCACTTTGCCATTTCCACTTTACGGGGAAGGGCTCATTGGTAGAGCATCTACTTTGCACTCAGAAGGTCCCAGATTCAATCCCTGGCATCTCCAGGTAGGGCAGAGGGAGAACCCTGTCTGAAACCTTGGAGAGTCATAGCTAGTCAGTGTAGGCAATACTGAGCTATATGGACCAAGTCTGAGTCAGTATAAGGCAGCTTCCTACATTTACTTACTTGCTCCTTGGACACACACTAGTAGGACTGAGGAGTAGAAGCAATTGCTATCATTGCTGCTTTATCTGCCTGCTTCCACCTCCTTGAGTCAATGGGATAGCAGAAGCAAGGAGGATGAGCATAAACTAGGGACGATCTAAAATCCACCATGCCAAAACACCACCTTGTTTACTAAATGCAGAGTTGGGGATACAGTGATTAAGAAGGGAAGAACCATAAAAGGAATGAAAGTAAAGAAAGAACACCCTTGGTTGCTGGCGGGAGCCATCATTGTGAGGTTAAATCCAGTTGAGAGCAGTGCTTCCTGCCCTTACTCAGGGGTCTCAAAAGGAAAAAAAAAACACAGCACAGACAGTACTTGGGAGTGCACACATTCGAGTGGTAGCTGCTGAGAAAGACTTGTGAGGAGCAGTTTTATGAAGCTCCCAACTTCAATTTTAAAAAGTTCTGGAAATAACTTTTGGCTGCCATACAATGGGAAACAAATGCTAGAGGGTGAGTCAAGAGGGACTTGACCAGTATGGTGGAGCCATAGCAATAGCTTCCCTTCAGCAGTGCTGCAGCCACATAGTGGGAGGGGTAAGATTGGGGCTGTGTGGGTGAGCCAATCCAGCTCCATGTGTAGCTCCACCCCCACTGTCTGTAAGGGGCAGCGACCCTGTTGCCAGGAGACTATTGTGGTGATTCCACCCTACAAGGCAAGTTGCTTCTGCAGTAAGCTAGTGAGCAAATGTAGCCACAGCAGCTGCCTTGCTACCACCAGACTGGTTCCTCCTTGAGCCAAAGCAGTGAGAAGAAAGGTGAGCTGCTGTCATCTGGAACAATTTGGAGGGACTCAGGAAGTGATTCTCAGCAAGTTCCTTTACTAACATAATTCTTTTGCATCTAAAATGAATAGAGTTGCAGACTGTAGATGTCTCCATAAACTGCACTGAGAAGTGTTAAATAGCTAGATTTTCTCAAGTTTCCCATGAGCCCCACAAATTTTACTCAGGGCTCTGACAATTCAGCACAACTGTATGCATCAAGCCCCTAACCAAAGTGCTCCTCACCAAAATGCCTAAACTATCTTACTCCTGTCCTGCTGACATTATTTCCAGTTTGTCTACTCTGGAATAGAGCCCAGCTGGATTCTTGGCATACAGTTCCATGATGACAGTTTACAGTAAGAGTTCTCTTAATGTTAAGTATATTATATACTTTGAGGCCATTATATTAAATATCTTTGTATGGCAATTGAAAGGTTTATTTTTATAGAGCTGCAAATACCACGGGAATTCATTAAAAAGGCTTAATGTATAAAAACAGAGGTGGGGGAGTAGAAAGCTGTATGTATTCTTTTAAATTATCCCGGTTTTCATAAAGTTTGATTATACCCCCTACAAGGTATGAATGCAAGTGTAAGAAAGTGTAAGATTACGACACTTTAAAAAATTATATACAACATTCATTATCATTCAAGGAAACAGTTGTATGCCACAAAAAAATGTTTCACTCCAAGTGTTTCAGCACTTACAAACTCAATTTCTAAATATGTGATACTGTAATTAAAACCCAGAAAGGCCTTCAGGAAAAGAGGGGCAATTTTGAAATGGATCCTACAAGCACTAGTCTCATTAGGCAAGCTACACATACAAACTACATTTGATCACCACCAACTCCTCTAGGAGTATCTATGCATATTTCTTAACCATAGAAAAGCCTTCATAACAAGGTATTTTAAAAATCTCCTATTTAAATGTGTATTCCACTCTTCAAACAGAGACTGATATGTGAAGAGTGCAATTAATTTAAAAGAATTTTTTTCCAGTACTCTTACCTTCCTGCTCCCGAAGCAAAACAGGGTATTTTTTATGTGCACCAATTTGCTTTGATTCTTTGGTCAGTGTAAACCATAGCAAGTACTGCATAGTGTTATGCAGACTGGCATTAATTAAAATGTAGCTAAATGTGTTTTACAGTCCAATTTTTAAACTCTTGTTATATGCACTGAGTACAGAATTACTTCGGAATGTAATCATATTAAGTTTGGCTCTAGCTGTATTTAACAATACTTCTTTGTAGTAAAATTTAGCTTGTACCATGTAAGCACTTGCATACTCTTAATCAAACATTGCAGTGAATTATGGTCTAAAATGAACATTCAAATCTCCTAATCTATGACCAACTTCCTGGCAATTACATAATATACAACCTTTTACAGGTGATTGTGGGCAGAGAAATTTTGCTAACCGGAGGAAAATTAATTTTTGCCACTTGAAAATGGTCTTTGTTTTCTGATGGTTATAGTAGGCTTGCCATACGTCAGGAAAATTCCTAACATGTCCTGGTTTGGGGGTGTAAAAATGGCATCAGGGGGGAATTTTGACAAATTGGCAAAATGTCAGGGGAAATCCAGATGTATGGCAACGTGATGGAAAAAGCAGAAACAGCTCAAAAAGCTTTAAGTCACAATTTTGGGGTTAGGCTTCCCCAAAGAAACTCAACAATTTGGGTGGTTTCCTAAAAGCTAAACAACTTTGTGGGTGTCAGAAATTTTACTTTTTGAAATATGGCAACAATATGGTTATAGTTTCCCTATCCATTAGGTAATGCTATCCAATTTGGCTTTCACTCACTTTTTTTAACTAGTTCACCACCTAATAAGTTAATCTCCAGATTTGTCAATATAAAAATTACCATATTTCTCTGTATCATGAATGCTAAATGAAACCTGGAATCTGCATACGACCTACTAAAGTTTCACCCAATCAGGTTTGCTATTCTCTTGTACACTTCATTTTAGGACTGTAACAAAAAACCAAAAGCTATAGTTTCAATATCAAACCATTTTCACCCCCGCCCACACAGTTGCTAAACATCCAACATGAGGAATTTTTCTAGAGAACTCAAAAGCTTGCTTACTACTTTGTGACATCAAACAAAGGCATGACCCTATGGTAGATTTTGCCGTTTTTCTTAAGAACCTACATAGCATCCTTTGCTTTTTGTGTTTGCTTAGATCAGGGATAATGAATCTGTGGCTCCCAAGTTGTAGCTGGACTACAACTTCCATCATCCCTGACCACTGGCTATGCTAGCTGGAGCTGATGAAGTTGGAGTCCAATGAACTTTGGGAGGGCCACAAGTTCCCCAGTCCTGGCTTCAATGCTCTTTTAACAACTATGGCTGGTTTTATTGATTGGTTGGTTGTGGAGAGGGAAAGGGTAGGGTTTAGCTATACTTCTATTGCTATTGAATATTCTTGCCTTTTCTCAGTTATGCTTCTTGTGCTAATCTTAAAATGATCATACATGAATGCTCCGATTAGAACTGAGCTGAAATTTGCCAGAGAAGATATTTTCTGATACTATTTCTGAGAATTTTATAACCCACATCTGAAAAAAAGACCATTTTGCAAAGTATTTTCATTTTGTTTTGTTTCTGCTACATTTAGGTACCATTGTTTGTTTGATTGTGAGTTGTCCAGAGAGTTTCACTTTATGGTGTGCCATCAAATGCTGAAAAAATAAAATATTTTTGCCTCCCCCTGCCCTGCCCACTTTGGTGATTGCCATCAGGGGTGCCAACTTGAATAAAATATTGGGGGAGGGGACCAGGTAAGCCCATCCCCACATAATCAATCACATGACGCAGTGCACACACACCATTTAAATAGGAATGCCCATCAACTCTGTGGGGGCCCTGCCCCCTCAAATATCTTGTTGTGGGGGCTGAAGCCCCCATAGTTCCTAGGAGTTGGCTCCTATGATGGCCACCATTTTTTCCTCACAGTGCCCTGTAATGATGCTGAGTCAGGGGCAAGGCAGAATATGCAAAATGGTAACCAGTTTGACAACATAATCGCTGTGTCTTCTTACAGCAATAGCAAGCAGAGAGAGAGAGAGAGGGAGAGTTGAGGGGAAAGGCAGAAGCCATGCCTTCTGTTGCTGGTGTGGAATGTTTACTTGAAATAAAACTGGTTCAGAAATGGAAACTTTGTCATTCTCCAGATGTTAATGGACTCCAGCTCCCATCAGCCCCAGACAACCTGGCAAATGGTCATGGGTGATGAAAAATGTAGTTTAGCAACATCAAGAGGATCACAGGTTCCCCACCCTCGCACTAGCTACCTTCAGATCTTCACAGCTTTGCTGAAGAGCCCAGGGCTTCTGTCAAGTCATAATGCAAAGGTGTTCAGGCATCTTAAATAATCCTTGTTTTATTGCACCTCCGCTATCCTTTATTGGTGTGCCATCCTTAGCTATTGAAGTTTATATTGTTTTATATTGGGTCCCTTATATGTAACTAAAAGATGCAGTATTTTTAAAGCTAAAATCAAGAAGAAACAACGTAACCAAATATTATTCAAGTCAACCATGACATGGCATGTAATCAAAATACAATCACTGATGGGGAAAGCATTTTCATAGCCATTGTCCATTTTGTATGAAATATGCATTAAATTATTAATAAGTCCTCTTAGGATAAAAATGTCAGAGCTTTTTAATATATGTTACCAGCGCCAGTTCAAAACAGTTATTGTTTGCCTTCACCACAGAAATGCTATTAAGCCTGTGGCTGTGAGTGACTGAATCATCTAATCCAGCGCAGTAAAATTGACTATATAATCTGTCGGAGAGACGCTACATCTACCATCAAAGCCAGCAAAGCAGAACCCCACATTCTATTTTCAGGTTCCAATTTTTATCAATACCTTACTGTGATGTGACTGATGCTTAGTATTACCTGAGAATGATAATAACAAAATTCCTGATATGCCAGTTTCAAAAATCTAATGCACAAGAAACATATCTGGAGCAGCAGTTTCAGCAGTAATGGTGCAAATTACATCATTTGCAACCATTTTAAGGAAAGGATACCTTCAAACAACGATAAAATATGGGTGCAGTTCTGTATACATTTTTCTTTTGATATACTGCAAGCCATCCATGAAGTTTATTAATCTTTGCCACTTTTTCTATCAGTCATGAAGCTGTAGCTTTCGCTTGCATAGATATCTGGCTCAGAAGCAAAATAAGGTGTTTGTGGATGGGGGCAGGGGAGGCCCGAAAGCGTATTTTAAGAGGCATAGTACCTGGCTGCAGCAGACAAATTGCAGCTCTCAACTAGCTCTTACCTGGTCTTGGTACACAAGGTTCAAAGTGATGGGGATAAATGGATATAGATTAGAATTGCCACTGAAATCCTGTGTAAAATTAAATTCAAAGCAAAAGAGGGGGCTCCTCCTCAAGTGAAACATCGGAGTAATTTGTACAGAAGCCAAGAGAGTTTTAATAATACTAGCACAACCTCATGCAGAAGCAGCAACCATCAAAAGCATAGGAAACTAACTCATCATGCATAAAGAGCACATATGGTCACATACCCACATTACAATCATCACATGAGAGACATTTTAAATGTATATAGTTTATGTTTCTATGTATATCCTGTTTTTCTGCCGCAAGGTACTCAACACAGCTTGCAGCCAGTAACTAAAACATATGAGCACACACTTTGGATTTCTCAGATCACTCCACTTGAAAGCTATTACCATACAGTATGCCATTCATGTACAGTGGCTTGTATGGGCTGAATAGTTTTCTTTATGCCAGGGTGGGGACGGGGACTTTGATTCTCTCTACACTGGTGCAACTTGTGAGATGCGGCATTGCAAAATGAGAGTGTTATCCACCCACAACATGGCAGCTGAAACACAAAGGGGCCACCATGTCTCTTGCCACTATCTTCTTGGAATACAACGCCTGCAAATGCAAACTTATGTATTCAGCTTTATTTAAGATAGTGGTCGTCATGTATGCAAACGTTTATAGCGTGTTAAGGCAGTAACAACATGTAGAATTTAAAATAGAATCTGGACTCTTGGGTGATATGATGAAAATTTTACAGTTTAATAATTCAAGCCATAGAAAAGCATCTCACAACCTTGAGTTCCCAGATATTCTTGAACTACAACTCCCGTCATCTCTGACCACTGGCCATGCTGGCTAGGAATGGTGGAACTTGTAGTCCAACAACACCTGGGAACCCAAGGTTGAGAAAGGCTGGCTTACACAAAAGTGAAGGGGACTGCCCGTCACTTTCACTTTCAGTACATAATTTCTGTCTTAAACATGTTGAAAAACTGTTTAAATGGGTTGTATTCTGTATTATATTGCATATTTTAAGGTTCACATTTCATGCAAATGGGGGAAGTTCTCTCATTAAAAATTACAATAGTGATTTTATTGTTTTATCTTTTTGTAAACTACTTTGAGGGTGTGTTTTATAAAAAAGCAATGAAGTGATGCATGTGTGTGTGTACACACACACATTAAATAAAAAACTAAAATTCATAAAAATCTTGAGAAGAAGAATCAAGCCAATTTTCTCACTCAGTGACTCAGGCTGCTAGACCTTTTAGCTCAGCTACCAGCATGCAGGTTACTGTAACAAGTGGTAGAGTGTCTACGGTCAGTGCAGTGCTTTCACTTGATTGTGCCTTGAACATAAAGAGCAATTCAAAGTCAAAGTTCAAAATTGGATGCAAAAATATACAGTATTGATTTAGCAGTGTACAACACAGTAACAGCTGCACAAATTTTAGGGCAACGGCAAAAAGTAAAGGTGCAGGGAAAAGATTTGTGCTATTATTCCAAGTAAAAGTGGTTTCTGTGAAACGTCAAACCCAATTTCATGTCTGAACATCACTTGCCTCTTTCAGCCCAGGCCAATGCACTTCTATTGAAGTAGAACCCTTAAGACAGATGAATGCTTGTAGTTTGTCAAAGATATTTCTGAATTCAGAATCCCTCAGGCTAGAAGCCCCCATATTTCAAATAAATGACTCGATCTCACAGCCTTGTTCCATCATTTCAGGAAATTCAGGAAAACAGTTACAGTAACAAAAATGACTCAAACTTTAGATGTCACAGAAGACAATACAATACCAACTGTGTATTTTAGCTTCCTGTGTAAGATGGTTCATTAGATTCATCACTAGGAGATGGCTCAGAGATAATGTCAGTTCCACTGTTTTTTTGCTCAAATACACTCCAGGAAATCAAACTAGGCCTAATGGGTTAATTTGTCTCCTCAATTGAGTGTCCTGGTTCCTTCCACAGATGGCTGCATGCTTTAATGCAGTTTCTGGAATTCAGATGTTCTTTACAAAGTTATCGTGTTGAAAAGATCCATAGACACTACCACTATTTTGTAAATACAAGGTTCTAAACTGTACTTCACAATCTATTGAATCCACTAATGGTTTGTGGTTCACATGTTACAATTTATTATCTATTAACAAGTGAACATTGTGAGGTGCACTCCCAACCGCACAATAATTAGCATTATGTTATCATTTTAAAATAACCACCATATTTTTTTGAACAGGAATAATAGAAAAAAATCATTTAACTATTTGGATGCTGAAGGATATAAAAGCTCTATCAACAGAAGGTACAAACGTACAAAGCAAAGTGTTGGCATATCCGTGGATGCCAAAGAGTGTGTGTGTGTGTGTGTGCGCACGCGCGCGCACACACACACACACACACACACACAAACACAAACAACTGGATGCTATACATAAAACTGTGACCATGGACAGCATGTGGCCATGGACTGCATTTAGGCTCCATGTTTAGTTCATCAGCTCCCATTATGAAATCCAGAGAAGCCCAGATTTCATTTACAAATCTTAAGGTTGAAGCTGTATGTTTGAAAATGTAAAAGAGACTCCCACATGTACCTCGGATTTTGTCTGATGGTATGAAGCAAACTTCACATCTCAATTGCTGGCCAGTAGCGGGGAGGGGGAGCAGCCAAGTGCCCCCTCAGCTCACCTTTAAGGTGAGCAAATGATGAAAAGCATGGATCAATAAAGTGTGATCCAGTACACTGAGGGAGAGTGGCATATCTCCTCAAGTTACAGCAGCAACAGTCCATGTGGTGCCTTGAGATGCTTTGCACTCTTGACTCCCACTGTCCATGACCAGCGCTTTCCCCTAGAATAGGTGTCAGTGCTCACCATGAAGTTGTTACAGTAAGCGCCACTCTTTTTAACAAAAAGAGGTGCTGGTACTGTGTACTGTTGAGTACTCCCTGGGAAAAAGTACTGTCTATTACCAGTGGCCATGCTGGCTAAAGCTTATGGGAGATGGAGTCCACAGCATTTGAGGTGAAACCTCTTGGCTACCAGTGAGTTACAGAGTACTTGTGCGGTTGTGGAGAATGTTAGTTATTCAATGCTTGTCGCAGATCTTTACTGATTAATAAAGTTGCAAGTATGACTTAATTTATATCTGGAGTTTTTTGTATTCTTATAACATTCTATTGTATTTAAAAATAATAAATTCACTGAATTAAAAAATAATAGTGTAAAGTTAAGGACCTTGCATCCAAATACTGGCAGATGTCTTCATTCAGGGCAGGTGGGGGGAGAAGGTGGCAATGAGGAAGCACCAACCTCTAATGCAGGGGTAGCCAACATGGTAGCCCTTCTTTTTGGCAGTGATTGTATTTTATTAGGCCTGTGTGTGTCATTTTACATCCTGGTTCCAGAACCCTAAAATCATTGCACAGCCTATTCCTTGGTGAGGAGGCTGCATACTAGCTATGTTTCGGGAACAAGCAGTCAAATGAAAGGCTACAAAAAGTGGAAAGTGGGACCACAAACCTGCCACCAAAGCCCAAAACGCAAATGGGGACACACACACAGTCTAGGTTGGCTTCGCCCCTAACCTCCATTCATTGGTCAGAAAATGTGTGCCTACAAACGTACCTGTAAGTTCTGAACTCCCAGTCATTTGGCAAAGTACTGATTGTTTGTTTGTTTGTTTGGACTAGAGCCTGGGTCATATGTATAGAGGTCCCTATGCATAAGTTCCAATCAACATAGTCTCATTTCATACCTCTATACTTTTTGAGCCATCTGCACAGGGCTTTCATGACATGAGTTAAAGAAGATATCTTTCTTTTAAAAGCCAAACACTACAAGGAAGGCCCCGTCCCCTGCATGTACACAAACAAAGAAAGAGAGAGACACTTGTTTTATCTTGCCGCCACCCTTTTTTCTGTACACATGGCTGCTGGAAAGTTTTGACAAGGTATATTTGTTTTTTTGTTAGCATTCATAAAAGGTGTGAATAAGATTCTAAACTTTTTAGTACAAAGCAAATCCAAACAAAGAGAACACTCAAATTAAAGCTCTTTCATTTTTTTCTCCAAGACACAGCAGCCTTTTCTAAGCTTTATTAGAAAATTATCATGCCAGCTGTCTCTTTTCCTTGACTGTTATTCACACAATATGCCTCTCTCTTGTTTCTTTTCAGCTTTGTACATGTATAATAATGAGTTTTTCTAGAATGGAAAACCCAGTGGAATATTAAAATTGCAAAGAGCAGTTCTTCAAGTTAATTTCACCAAAGTGCATCACAACACAATACAACATTGTAAGAATGAATATCTAATAGGGCCTCATTCATGGAAATTAATTAAAAAATGTTATTCTGAATATAGCTTTTCATATATGTACCATTGTCTATTGGCAATATTTTTAAGAAGTTAAACATTTATGAAAATAAATTGTTCAAGACCTATTTAATGGATTATGTTATGAACAGCGAGCTACCCTTTATTTTTAGGAATTAAAACTGTGGATTTGGTTGATAGATGTGTATACTATTATGATTCTTCAGGAAAAAAGAAGGATATTTTTAGTCAAGCTGTAGCTTTATTTAGAACAAATTAGATGATCAGCACCACTGTTGTGCCTTTGGGCCAAACTAATTGTAGCACGTCTTACATGTTTAGCTCATTATTGCTTAACCAACGGCAGTGGGGGTGAGGAGGAATCCACATGAGGACTGCAGTGTTGAGGCTAAACCCCTTCCTCCCCTGCTTATTTAATTTATATGCAGAATTCATCATGCGAAAGGCTGGGCTGGATGAATCCCAAGCCGGAATTAAGATCGCTGGAAGAAATATCAACAACCTCAGATATGCAGGTGACACAACCTTGATGGCAGAAAGTGAGGAGGAACTAAAGAACCTTTTAATGAGGGTGAAAGAGGAGAGCACAAAATATGGTCTGAAGCTCAACATCAAAAAAACGAAGATCATGGCCACTGGTCCCATCACCTCCTGGCAAATAGAAGGGGAAGAAATGGAGACAGTGAGAGATTTTACTTTCTTGGGCTCCATGATCACTGCAGATGGTGACAGCAGTCACGAAATTAAAAGACGCCTGCTCCTTAGGAGAAAGGCGATGGCAAACCTAGACAGGATCATTAAAAGCAGAGACATCACCTTACCAACAAAGGTCCGTGTAGTGAAAGCTATGGTTTTCCCAGTAGTGATGTATGGAAGTGAGAGCTGGACCATAAAGAAGGCTGATTGCCGAAGAATTGATGCTTTTGAATTATGGTGCTGGAGGAGACTCTTGAGAGTCCCATGGACTGCAAGAAGATCAAACGTATCCATTCTTAAGGAAATCAGCCCTGAGTGCTCACTGGAAGGACAGATCCTGAAGCTGAGGCTCCAATACTTTGGCCACCTCATGAGAAGAGAAGACTCCCTGGAAAAGACCCTGATGCTGGGAAAGATGGAGGGCACAAGGAGAAGGGAATGACAGAGGACGAGATGGTTGGACAGAGTTCTCAAGGCTACAAACATGAGTCTGACCAAACTGCGGGAGGCAGTGGAAGACAGGAGTGCCTGGCATGCTCTGGTCCATGGGGTCACGAAGAGTCGGACACGACTAAACGACTAAACAACAACAACAACCACCAGCCAGCTGCTTTTTTTTGTTAAGAATGAACAAAACTAAGCACAGATGAAGAAACACATTACTGTGTTGGTTCATATGATATGCAGAAGCCAAACTTCAGTTTAGTCAGATTGCATGAATGTGCAGGCTCCTGAAAAGGAGCTTATACCTACCTTGCTCCTCCCTGGTCCTTTTTTGCCTGCCATGCTAAACCAAGTCAAGGATTGGCTTAACAAGTCATCTGAAGCTCCATTGGCCATTGGCTCTAGTTCTCCCTACTGTCAATCCCTCTGCCTTTTACTGTAACAGTCCCAATAGGCAGCAGCCTCTACAAGCCTCCGTGGTAATAAAAAGTAGCTGCCACGTGACTAAGTTAGTGTTTCAAGGGCCCCTTAACCAATCAAGAAGGGGTTAAACAAATGTATACTATATGAACAGATACAATAACAGAACAAGGAAGAGACTGGTAGTGCAACAACACATGGATGGCCGCAGGTTCTCTCATCCTGATCTAATCCATGCATAGGGGCATGTATGACATTGATATTGCAGCATTCAGAGTGCAGAGTATAAAAAGCAAAATGTTTAAATAATAAATACAGCATAATTCAGATCACTACATCTCAAGCATGCTAAATAAGATCATACTGTACAATTAACAGCCCTATTTTGTGTACACCGTCACTGGTATACACCAAAAGCTTAAGAAAACAAACTCAACATGCATCTGGCAGGCACACCAGAAAATAGTCACTGAGTGGATCTCAAATGCCTTCTTAATAAGCCAGTGCTTTGGGGGCAATACTTTCTGGATTATTTTGAAAGTAACAGCTAAAACAGCTGAGTATATGGGCAATTCCCTTTGCTAAACTAAATGGGGTGGGGGTGGGGAACCTTAGTTGATCTTTAAATGGTATGGCAGGTTCAGGGTGGGAGTAGTTACAAACACGAGCAAATGTTACAAAGGTCTGATTCACATATAACACTAAATCAAACCATGACTTAGTGCAAATGTGTTGTGTCTAAATGTGGGCTCGTGATTTGTTTGGGGGAAACAAACCATGAACCCACATTTGGACATAACACAAGTAGTAAACCAAGAACTAATTTTGGTTACAGTTCGTGGTTTGTCTGAAGCAAGCTGTGGTTTGGTTTAATGCTGCGTGCAAACTGGACCAAAATTTATTTGGATTTTCTCCTAAAAGAGTTATTCATTTTTCTAACTGTCAACCAAACTTCTCCAAGGACTAGCAGCACTGCTATAAAAAAATCTGCCTTTTCTGAAGCATGAAAACATATGTGCTAAGACAAATAAGCAATTACATATGTCTTTGGATAAGTTTAAAATGCAGTGCTGTTCCAGGACAAAGCAGCAATAGGAAGAATGAAATAGCACTGAAGAAGCCACTACCATCATTTGCCCAAGAATACTGTTGCATGACACCCCAATCTCTGAGCAGTTTGTTCCAGGGGTTCCAGGCACTTACCCAGGTTTCATGTTTCCTTCAGAATGAGGCACAGTGGAAACTGTGGTGTATTTATGATATATGGTTTACTTACACATATATATAACCTGAACCTACAATGAAGGGGGTGGGCTCACAACATTAATACCCCAAGAGTGCCTTGCTTCCCTAGTAGCTTTGCTTCCCTGGATTCAAACAAAAATCTATTTTTTTTAAAATGATATTTATTAAAGTTTCACAAAGAAAGAATCACATCAACATAAAAAGAAAAATTCAAGAATAAAAAGAAAAATACACAATGCGAAATACAAAAAGAAAAAAAAGAAAAAACAATTAAAAACAATTCCCTCTTTTCATCACTACTTTTACATTTACTTGTTTCCCGGACCTCCTCATACCTCCCTCTTTTGTATTCCAATTCAGTTTGTTAGTCCAGCAATTCCTTTCCCTCCTTTTTAATCCCAGTCCTTAATCTTAATATTTAATACATTAAATTTTTACCTATTAAAAACCAATTTTTCCATTCTTTTACCCTTTTTAATCCTAATCCTTAATCTTGATATATTTATAATTTTAAAGCCTGTACAGCTAGAAGCCACTTAATTTCAATCCAGCATCACTCTAACATTCATTAATTTTGCAATATTTCTGTAAGTAATCTTTGAATTTCTTCCAATCTTCTTCCACCGACTCTTCTCCCTGGTCATGGATTCTGCCAGTCATTTCCGCCACAAACAAAAATCTACATCACTCTTTCTCTCTCTTCTCCCAGCTTGCTACTTTTCTTCTAGCTCACATCACTTCACTATCTGCTCACAACTCTGGCTTTTTACGTCTAACTACCCACAAGTTGAGGGAGGGGGCCCCACCCATTTTCTGTCTTGCACAGAGCTACTTCCTTAATGGCCCATCACCTTACCAGGAACCTAACTCAGCTTTCCCAGTAATTAGAAGGGCCCCAGGCATTCGCCCTACCCCCCCCCAAAAAAAACTTGTAACATTTGAATGTTCAGTGGTAAATCTAATTCTGTAACCCTGCTTTTCAGTTAGGTATTCTTCAGGTGTTTTTACTGGGGATTCATTATTCCCTGCTGCTTTCGTACACGGATTAGTTAAATTTGCAGTTTAATTTCCATCATACTCTTATAGAATAGTTTCTCTTGTTCTGCTTCCACAAAAATCAACAAGTTATTAAAGCCCTACAAGCAATCATCTGTACTAAGAGGTTAAAATGGGTGGCAGTGGGTGAGACCAAAAGATATATATGCCATTGCTGACATTCTCTCGGGAAATGCCACCAGTTATGAACTACAAGTTTGGATTGTCAGCTACGTAGGAACTGCTGATATTCTGCCATTATGACTTTTGTGCAAATGAAACTGTGTGGGTGAAAACTGTATTTAAGCAGAGTGCCTGGGAATTTGTAAAATGCAGAGAAAGTTTCCCACTGCAATTTAACAATTTAGCAGGTAACTTCAACAAATAGGAAAGTAAATCGGAGAGAAATCAAAGCCAGCCTGTCAAAAGAAAAACTGAGCAATGAAGTGCTCTACCCACCACCAGGTAAAATGGGAGACCAGTCCCTCACACCACATTTTGCTTCTAGGAGGACAATAGGATACAACTGTGATAAAAGATAATTTTTCTCCATTGCATTCTTTAGCCACAAAACAGGCAAGATAAGCAACTGGACACAATATTGTGCTTGTATGATTCTCATATACTTAGTGAGAAATTATATTTAACTTGCAGTCATTTTTTTAACGACACACTTTGAATGTTACTGTTTTCGTTCATTGTGATCTTGAGCTTTCCCTTATGGACTACAAAATCCATTTGCACCATATGCCGTTATAATTTATTCCTGTTCTTATTTTTAGAACTCGGGAAGATGAGTCATGCATAATCTCAGATACATTTCAAAGACAGTGTACAATATGTTTTTTAATATATTCTCGCAATGCTACACAACGTTTGCAATTCTCAGCACAGCTGGACATACTAACTCTACAAATAGGGATTCCATCGTGTCAACCTTGTCCATATTAAAGCTATATGGGAAAAATCACACTGCTGCCCTTTGGCAAGAAATGGATGTTGTTACAGACGCTATCCCTTACAAACTAAATAAGCAGGAAAGTATGATCTCTCTCAAAGCAGTTTATCCATTGTGTGAGAAAACTAGGGTGGCAGTTATAGGGGGTCACAGGATGGGGGTGCTGCCATATAATGCAGGGTTCATAGACAGCCAGGACTCCAGGATAATATAGATAATGACTGTGTTGGGAGTAAGGTGGCAGGGATTAGAATTTGACTCAAAGAAGGATACATTATGAGATTGCAGCAGGCTCTCTGTCCAGTTGAGTGGGGGTCTAGAGTGTTCCTGGAGTTGTGTATTCGGGACAGATTAGGGATTCTGCTGGTTTAGCAGCTGCCTCACTATCCAGTAGTCTCCTGGCCTGAGCCGACAGAGCTGGTCTCAAAGGCAATGTCGAGGACTCTCAGACTATTGGTTTCGGGGACTTCAACTTCCATGCCAGGGTGACCAGCTCTGAGGGGGCTCAGGACTTCATGGCCACCATGACAACCATAGGGCTGTCCCAACGTGTCATCAACCCAATTCAGGTAATACTTTGGACATTGTTTTCTCAGCTGGGGAGGAATATAGTGATCTGAAAGCGGGGGGATATTGACATCTGTCCCTTGTCATGGCCAGATCACTTCCTGTTGAGATTTAGGCTCTCAGCACTTTTTCTCCTCTGCAGAAGCCCTCCCTGGAACTGGAAAATCTTGCCCTTTTGGGCAATCTCCCCTTCTTGGGAGCTTCTTGAGTGGGTGGTTACAGACCAGATCAAGGGGCTTTTGAAGGAAACAGTTCTACTTCTCCTTTACAACTGCTGATGTGGCAGTGGATATGCTAGACCATTGTCTTGCCTCACCAATGAACTGGATGAGGGGCAATAAACTGAAGCTGAATCCAGATAAGACTGGGATGCTGTTAGTGAGTGGTTCCCTAGATTGGATGGATGGGAGGTTGCTTGCTCTTGATAGGGTTACACTCCCTCTGAAGGAGCTTTGGGCTACTTCTGGATTCTTTGCTGTTACGTGAGGCTCAGGTGACCTCAGTGGTATAGAGTGCCTTCCATCAGCTTTGCCTGATGGCCCAGCTGGGCCCCTATGTGGACAGAGCTAGCCTAACTTATGTTGTCTATGCTCTTATAACCTCTAGGTTAGATTACGGCAACACATTTTACACGAGGCTGCCTCTGAAGATGATTCAGAAACTACAACTGAGGTAGAATTCAGTGGCAAGGTTGCTCACTGGAGCAAGAAAGTTTGAGTCAAAGAACAGCAATCCATGGAATTCAACTTCATGCTGTTACAAACCTTCTGCCTGCACAAGCATTTCAGCTTATCAAATGGAACAGTCTCCCTCATCTCCCACTATGCACTATTCTGGGGGCTCTCTCAACCTCCCCGATCCCATTTTGGGAGGACTGGTGGGGGAGGGGCAGTGGAGAGAGCCCCACTGCATATGTGAAAGTCTTTGTGTAGGACTTCCACCCACAGGGTTCCTAGGGTGAATCTCACACTATAGGTTTTATGTGGCTCACCTTTTATGAGGTCAACAAATTCACACAGATCTACTTTTATCTCTGAGTCATATTGTATTAATTTCCTTGCTCTCTGAGATCATCAGCCAAAGCTCTGATTCCTATTCTACCTAGCTCAAAGCAAGATTTGTGAGGGCTTGGAACATGCGTAGAAGCATACTGGATTTTCCATAGGCCATAATTGCTGATCTTATATAATTCTATCTTGTTAATTTTATGGTTATTTCACATCCTTTATGTAATGTTTTAACTGCTTTGGGTCACCAGATAGGGGAGAGAAATGGGATACAAGTTGAATAGATGAGATTTTACTTTTTAATGTTAAACGTTTATAAATCATATGATCAGAGAACTTTCAGGGATCAGAAAGCACAATAATCGATGCCAACTGCCTGAAGGCCAAATCTTTTCACATTGTGCCATCTATGTGGAGGTTTTTGTTACATGTTTTGGGGACCATGTATCACAAGGAGACTGCAAAGAGTGACCAAAGAATAAAGCAAACAATAATGCCCAGGAAAGTACAAGTCAAACCACACAATGACAGAGAAGTCAAGTAATAGTAATATTTAAAAGGTTACTAGTTGGAGAGAGAGATTCATGCTATGACTCATTTGACTATTTATTTGGAAACCATAATTTGCATTAATACTGATTTTTTAAAAAATCCTGAGCATTTTAAATAATCACACTCTTTTCTGATGTATCCTCTCTAAAGATATCAATTCTTTCCAGGATGAGCCCTGAAGAATTTGAGATGTTTCCTTCACATCTCAACATCTGCCTACACAGCTGTCATATTATACTTTTTCTAGTAACAGCTGCATGTCACAGCTGTGTTGAAAAGGGTAGTGAGCACAGAAGGGTATACACTATGAACAATGCTGAAAGCAACAACAGAATGTGTGATATTACTCATTTACAACCACAGTGAACATTGTTGAGCCTTTTGTAATTTGGCTCAACAAGAATACCACCACTTTACCAGTCCATTCCTTTTATTTATTGAAAGCATTAAGAGGCATTTTCATTTTGAAGTATTAAAAGCACTGCTTATATTTCCTCTCCTGACCCTCAAGTAAATACTGAGAGAACAAAAGTGCTTTCAGTGTGTGACAGAAAGCCAGAACTTCAATGGAACTTAGACTTCAAAGTCACTAAAGTGCTTTTGAAAATGTTAACACTCATTCCTTGCTAGTTTGAATTAGACACTCATTGTTCTAGACCAAATGGAGCTATAACAGTTATTCATTGTAAGTCTCTCTCCTCGTTTTAATAGAAATCCTTCCTTTGCTGGGATAAAAATAAATCTTCATAGGAAAACCAATCAAATGTGACAATGCTATCTGATTTTTCATAATTACATATAAACTCTATATTTGAAGTTATAGTAGTAAAGTAAAATTGGCTCATATGTGTCCTCAATGTATCAGTTTAAACTTATTACAAACTGAGTGGTTTTTCCAACTAAAGGGAAGATTTAGGATGGCCAGATTTAACTGTACAACTGAAGAGTCAGAGATAAAAATTAATTTCTGTGGTTACTATAGTAATCTACACAACCTGAAGAAAAAGCAGGTCAAAGATTTTTGCCTTTTGCTACAAGTTTCCATAAGATCCAACATTTCAAAAACATTATTCAAACATTTTTTATTTAAGTGCCCTCATAGCCACTCAACTTTAAAAGAAAATATTTCACATAATTTATTTAAAACCATTCACCTTGGATCTTAGGGAAGCTTGTAGCAAAAAGGCAAAAATATTTGACCTGCTTTTCACAAGGTGGTGTAGAGTACTACCACAACCTCTTTAAGATACTCAAACAGAAATTAAATTTTCTATTTGGCTCATCAGTTATACAGTGCCCCTCAATAGAAAAACCATTCAGTTTGTAAAGCAAGTAGATATATTAGGATATTTGTTTAATTTCTCACCTGCTTTGGCAACTACAGAATGCAAAGTTCAGTTTAAGTTCATGATGCTTCAGCTCACAGCCTTTAAAAATGAAATAAAGTGGTAATGGTGACATCATCAAGGCATTCTCCCATACACTTTTAGAGAGTCAAACTATTGCTATAGCTGCCTTGCCAATACAATTGTCCTGTTCAGCATTGATGGAGAGGTTGCTGATTATGATAGAACCCAGGTAGACAAAATCATCCATCACATCAAGCATGCAATCACCAATTTTGATGTGTGGAGTGCTGGTGATGTTCTGACCCAGGATGTTGGGCTTCATAAGGCTGATGGCAAGTCCAAATTCCCTGCAGACTTGGGCAAAACAGTTGATGAGTCTCTGTTGGGCTTCCCCAGAGTGCACTGTTAAGGCTGCATAATCTACAAACTGTATCTCTCTGATAAGGACTCACTACACGTTTGTCCTGCCACAGTTGAACAGACCCCCTGTCACTCCTTGAATGGATATACACCCTGTCTTCAGTCATGCTGAAGGCAAATGAGAGCAATAGGGAGAAGAATATGCCAAAGAGTTGGGGTGAGAACCCATTATAGATCTGTCCATTGATTAATGTGGATACTAAATTATTTACAGGCATACTGGCCAGTAGGCTTTCAAAAACCTTGCCAAACTATGTCCACCATGACCTAGTTGGATTCATAAAGCAAAGATCTAATAGCCTTCCCTATTAGAAGGGTTATCAATACAATTTTTTGGAGGCAATAACATCTAGAACCTACTGTTCTCCTGATGCTGGACACAGTCAAGGCATCTGATCATTTAAACTGGCAATATCTCTTTACAATTCTATGTTCCTTTGGTATTAGTGCATCCTGGGTTGCTATGCTGTATAATTTATACTATGGAACACTGGACCAAGTTCTGGTGAATGAGGAACACTCTTCGGCATTTCCCATTGGCTGGGGGATCATCGTTTCCTCTGTTGCTCCACCCCCCACCCCCGGCCATGGAACCCTTAGTTGAGGTATTAAAAGCAGATGGTGATGTAAAAGGTTTTGAATTATTTGGAAAAACTCATCCATATGTTCACAGGTGATGCTGAGTATTCCTTTCTGAACCCTCGTTACCTGCTGTTAATGCACCAACTTGCTATAGATGGCAAGGTATTTGGATTCACTGTCAACTTCACCCTGCCAAACCTAGAACTACATTGGCATGAAACATCTGGCCTGAAACTTTGTAATGCCTACTTTTAATACATAGGAGTGAATATACCTAAGAATCTATCCAAACTAGAAAAATGGAACTTTACTCCCTCGATAAAAGATTGAACAACTAAGATAAAAAATTGATCAAAGCTAACACCCTCATGGTTGGACAGTTTCTATAACAAAAATGATGCAATTACTACACCTTCTTTACTTATTCCGAGTCTCACCAATAAGCATACCGATTTCTCATGTTAATAATTGGGGCGGGGGGATCTACTAAATTTTATTCATGCAAACAAGAGAACTTGGCTACTTCATAAAACCCTTTATAGGTTCAAGAAAGAAGGGGGTATAGCAATACCTAACCTAAAATAGTATAAAGACTCCACTCACACAATATTATTTTGATTTTACAAGGCTCAACAAGGTCCCATGGTTTAAAATGGAGGATGATAGAGGTAAAGACTTTATGGAGTGGGTTAGAATGGGAAAGATGGAGTGAAGCTTGGACTCAGAAACTTTTCAAATGGGAATGTACCATCAGTTTGTGGCTAAGTACACATTTAGAATAGCACAATAGAGTGTGGACAACCCACTCTTATGCAGGTTTATCTCTGGATTGGGACAAATGAAAATAAGCTACTAAAGTAAGCATATTTTAATAACTCAATTTTTCTATGCATCATCAGCTCCTGCCTCCCTTAGAGGGCTTATTAGATTCATATAAGAAAATTCCTATCACCTAGCTACTTAAAAGTTGCATTAATCATTTTAAACTCCTCCCAAATCATGAGCAGAAGGTCTGTTCTTGTGCAGTAAATATAGATGCTCCCCATGGGTGTGAATGTACAGTTAATAGTGTATATATGCACAAGAAATACTGCAGACAAAATTTGGCAAACGTGGACAACATGTAGTTTGGCAACATATATGAATGCAGCAATCTCTTATGGCTGTGGAAATTTTAATGAGCTTAAAGGAGTTTGTCCCACCACAGCCTGTATTGTCCTTGTTGCCATAAAACAGAATTTCACAACATGCCTGATGAGATCCAGAACTTTATTAGCAAGAAGGTATTTAACATAAGTTTCCTCTAAACGGCTAGGTAATTTCCTTATTAATGGTTGAATTAGCTCTATTTGGGTATCACAATACAAAGGGCAGTATAGAACAATGTGCCCAATGAATTCAATCTCATTAGACAGGCATAGGCAAACTCAGCTCTCTAGATGTTATGGGACTACAACTCCTATCATCCCTAGCTAACAGGACCAGTGGTCAGGGATAATGGGAATTGTAGTCTCAAAACATCTGGAGGGCTGAGATTGCCTATGCCTGTCATTAGAGTTGCATGGGCATAATCTTTGTTCAACTGGGATGTCATGATATCTGCCCTCTAATAGAGCTGAAGGGAGAACATTAAAATGGGCTCTGGGGAATGCCAATATTTAGGGTTGGGGAAGAATGTAAGATATTTTCTATTGTTGTTTTGAACTGCTGGTTTCAGAATGAAATTGTTTAAATTGAATTGTGTTTGTGTTTTATGATCTTGATTATCTATTGTAAACTAAAATTGAGCACCTCCTGGCAGCAAATCAGTCCATGAGTGAATTATCTTGCCTGCACCCACCACAGAATGGACGGAATAAGCCAAGCACTGTGAAACAGCCATGGAGAATGCTTCAGAAAATGTCACATTTGATTTGGTAACCCATTAGTGATTGTGGGGATAACACTTTCTGTAATGTGATAACACCATTGAAATCTAGATCAACATAAACAGAGATGATGTAAAAGTGAGTGAGAATTCTGTTGTCTCGTGGAACTAGATATTAATTATGAGACAAATATGGTCTGGCTTCATTCCTGGAAAACTTTGCACTTGTCTCAGAGCTACTCTCAGCCAGTTCCAGTTCTCCTATACTATTAAAGTTTTTGAATAGTCTCTTGAGCATTATATTTTTATTGTTAAATCTTTGTAGTACCCTCAGTCTGAATATATATGAAAGCAAAGCATGTGTATTTTTCATTTTTTTTACATATAGAAAAAATGCCTCATAAAATATCATTACCAGCATTAGTATACCCTCAATTTTCTGTAATAAGAATGTATCCTTTCTTCTCATTTCTGCTCACATGAAATCTGTACTATCCTAAATAGAAAAATAGAAGACTTCACAGCTAAAAGAGATAATAATTTCTGCTTAAAAACTTGACTGTGATCCCTGATTTGATTTTTCTAGAATTTTAGCCCATCCAGTCTCAGAAGCTGAGAGTTTGTTGCAATGAATCCAAGCACACCTACCCACCCACCACTAAATGGAAAATATGGAATGTTAAAATCCCCCCTTTTTTTCCTTCTTCTTCTTGTTCTTGCTTACTTTCGCCCGTGTCACTCCTCTCATTCTTTGTTCAATTGTGGATATGCTCACAGCTTAATTTAAAAAAAAAATAAAAATCCACACTTTTTCTCTGTATGCTGCATCAGGACTAGAGAATATAATTTGAGCTCATGGCTATTCTTTATTAAGCACTTTACTAGGTCAAACCAAATAATGATCATCATATCATAAACATGCAACAAAACATAGACATGTTCAATTAGGAGCCTTTGCTGAATTGGCAAATAAACAATAGAAGAGAAACATTTCTCTCCCGTTAAAGTAAATTACATCCCTAGTGGATTCTCAAGGCTAACTATTGTCTGAATAGCTCCTTCCCAGTAGGTCCTCTCATTTCCGTCTACAGCACAGTGGTTTTTAGACTGTTAAATACATAGGGACACTGAGTGTTTTGCTCACATTCATGTCAATTAAAGATGCTGGTGAAGGTCAGTGGCTTCAGGGCCGAGTGAGGAGTTGGGGGGGGGGCTTACTAATATTTACCTCAAAGCAGAAGCCAGCATTAGAAAACAGTCAGTTCTTTCAGCTCAGATTAAAATAGGAGCCAAAGAAGATTATGGGCTGAAGTGCTACACTGAAGAGCTGTCCTTGCTAAAAGTGCTGTTGGATGGGCGAGCAGAAACTCACCTTCTGTTGTTGTTTTTTTTAAATGATATTTATTAAAGTTTCAAAAAAAATACAAAAAATACAGAATACAGAAAGAAAAAGAATAAAGTTTTTTTAAAAAAATATAACCAAAGAAGTAAAAAATAAAAGAAAACATACCAAATAAAACAATTAAAAGGACATTAAATTTCCATAACCTATCTTCCTTATACTTATTTCCCCGGACCTCCTCATACCTCCCTTTTTTGTATTCCAGTTCAATTTGTTGATTCAGCAAATCCTTACCATTAAAATTACCCAGTTGCAAACCTTTTTTCATATCTCTTAAAGCATTACAGCTAAAAAAACCCTCAGTTTCTATCCAACATCCTTCTAAGATTCCTTAGAGAAGCTCACCTTCTGAAGCAGGAGTGTGGTGTTCTTTTGCCCCAGAGTAGCAACTTTGCAGGCTGCAACTCTTCAAAGAAAGAACAAAACTACGAAAAGCAATAAGAAACATTTGCCTTGGTGACTGCTTTGATGGGGAAAGTTTACTGAGAATGGCTCAGAAATGACCGCTTATAAATAAGTCCTAATAATTTCATGAGGTTTACTCACTTGTAGAAGACACCAGGATTGCAACTTTAGACCCTCTAAAGCTCTGATCAAGTATCCATATTCATCATCACAAGGCCTATTTGTTTAGTCAAACCTTTGGCTAAACAATGTGCTCTGACTTGTTTAAAAATATTCATTTAGTCTGATTTTTACTGGATTCATTTGTTGTGGCTATAGAAATTCAGAGTGATGATCTATATCACAATTTGACAATAATACATTGACGATATAAGGAAGGAGCACAATTACACCAATATCAGGGTCTGCACCCCATATTATGTGTTTGTAACGGACGTTTGCTATTATGAGCAATTGTGAAAAGAACTCAAATGGCCAAACCCAGACTAAGACATTTACAGAACAGGTGAATAACACACTTGCAGTGCATTCAGGAAAGTATGAAAATCAAATAACCAGAAAATACTCTGATCTAAGTGTGGCCCATGGTTACCAGTGGATGATGCTGCTATATAGGAAAAGATGTAAAGAGGTTCCTTAAATTACATAAGAAAGCTTCTGTGTATCTGAATCCATAAGCAAGCTAAGCTCTTTGCTTTCAGAATGGTTAAAAGAGCAAATCACAAAGTCACAGATACAAATTTAATGTGACATTTGCAGGACATGAACTTCTGTCATATTACTATCTTATTTTCAAATATAAATTGATGAGGCAAGCAGTCTTTCCTTGTGGTTATTTTTTTCATTCTATACAGGGAAAGAAAGAATAGTAAAGTGTTTCCAAGAAGTGTTAAACCCAGTACTAACCTCATTTACTTACAACAGAAGACTTAACATTGAATGTGTGTAAGAGAGAACTGGAGGAATAGGGGCAAGAGGCCACAATCACATTGTAAAGCAGATGCAAATGCTTCAGAGGATGAAAAGTTAAATCATTGATTCAGAAACAGTGTGGTGAAGCCAGAGCAAAAGGAACTTCCCTCGTTTAAAAATGAAGCAAAGGAATTTGTGCCTTTGGCTGTATGATACAAGAAACAGGTAGGCTGGCTGAAAATATGGGTGCTGGAGAAATAATCAATCATGGCTTGAAACACAGGGGCAGTGACTACACTCCATCTTCCCTAAATGGTGAACCTGAAGGTAGGAGATCCATAGCTTCCTAAAGGTCTCAAAAGCAAGTCAAGATTTTTCATAAAAAGTTTGACATCTGGTCGCATGGGAACAAACTGCAAGATCAGTGGCTGGGTGTCATATCGTTCTCTTGAAAGCAAATGAGGAGGGGCGATGTGGATCATGGCCATGGTGCAGGGGTTTGAGAGTGAAATGATTTCCATCCTTTCCCTCACAGACATTGTCCCATTCCTGGAACTGTTCTTAACCAAAGAGATGAAAACACACAGGCACCATACAAGAAAGCAATATAGTCAGCAGAGAAAATGAAACAATACCAACCCAAAGCTTGCTGGAAAAGCAAAGTCTCACATTCCCTTCTGAATCCCGGCAGGGATATTAATCTATGTAGCTGTGCGGAAGGCTCCACAGTTTAGGGGTCACTACCATAAAGACTCTTGTTCTAGCTGCTACCAGCCTTACTTGATGCAAAGATGGAGCAGCAAGCAATGCCAGTTGCCCACATCTCAAGTGGTCCATGGACCTGCAGTTTTTAATAAAATAAAATAAAATAAAATAAAATAATGACACGGATCTATACAGTGGCGGAGCTTCATGCTCCGGCACCGGGGGCGGAGAGCAGGCGGGGGCGTGGCACGAGTCCCGGCGGCATGGCGCACCGTCCTGGGGGTGTGGCACACCACCTGTGGGGCATGGCGCCCAGCACGGGAGGGGGCAGCCACAATGGCACCCCACCGGGATCGTGGTGCTGGGGGCGGTGCGCTCCCCCCGCCCCACTCTTCCTCCGCCAGTGGATCTATAGCAATAAGTTTATTCATTTTATGCTACTTCTTTATATTGAAGTAATATTCAGATGGAGAGGCACTGTACAATAACTGCTTGCCAAGTGGCCACCTCTATCCTGTAATTTTTTTCAGTTTCTAAATCAATTGGTCAAAGGACTAGTGCACGTTGTGGAGATTGCATCAGTGGTGAACTGGCTCAGCATGGGATTTCATCAAGGCATTTCATCCATACAACAAGAGCCTTCCTGCCCACCTGCAAACAGGAAAGCAATAGCAGGTTATAGAAAATCCCCCCCATCCAAGTCATGAGCCACTTTACAGAACTAGCCCACCGTCTAGTAACTGCTGTCCCATGGGGCAATTTTGAAATGCTATCTATGTAGCAGATATACAAAGCTGCAACTCTGTATACCTGAAGGAGCATCTCCATCATTCAGCCTGGACACTGAGGTCCAGCTCCAAATGCCTTGGGCAGTTCCCTCACTGTGAGAAGTGAAATTACAGGGAACCAGGCAGAGGGCCTTCTCGGTTGTGGCACCCACCCTATGGAATGCCTTCCCATCAGATGTCAAGGAGATTAAAAAGCATCCCTTCAGATGTCTTCAGAAAGTTGTTTAAGTTTGATGTTTTGCTGTGATTTTATTCTGTTGGAAACCACCCAGAGCGGCTGGGGCAACCCAGTCAGATGGGAGGAGAAGGAGGAGGAAGAGGAGGAGGAGGAGGATATGTTGGCATTATTTGAGGTGTTGGCAGCTTATAATTAAAAATATTTTTTTTCCTCTTCCAGTTTAGTATTTCTGTTCCTCCTCCTCCTTTCTTCTTCACTTTTTTGTCAGAGCACTAGCATAGATTTGTGTATTTTGTTTTACTCTCCCAAGCAAGTCATTATTTCCCTGCACACCGTGACTGTTCTCTAGTATGTAAAGCCTATAGTTCTTCAGTTGAGCAGTAGAAATGACTCATTTGCTTGTATACAGAATATATCACAATTGCAATTTTATATCAAATTAAATTGCTTATAAATATTAAGATGATTAATATGCAGTGTTTGCATAAAGTAGGTCCCATGTTGCTGGATTTTCTGAGCCAGCCTCACTCATATGCTGGGTAATTATATAGATTTTTTTATTGTTGTTGAGGAAGTAAAATGTATGCAGGAATTTTTGAGAAATAGTGGCCTTGGGGATTGCATGAACAATGGATCAGATTCTCTTGTTCTTGTAAAGTTTAAAATCCACATTTCAGACGCTTTAATTGGGGAGAGGAGGATTTTAGTACACAGCAGTTCTAGCTCTCAGCAATATTGTCCACTGAGAGCAATGCACTTGGTGCTACGTCCACCACACCTGAACTACATTGATCTAATGCTTCTCACTACAGGCGTGCTTTAGGACTATCTCCCATCAAAGAATGCATGCAGGATTTTAAAATATTAAGAAAAAAGATCTATATAAGAGACTATATTTTGCTGGCTCCTCATCATGGATTTTTGCTAACTTTTAGATGGTTTTTCAGCCACCCATGTAAATGTTTTAGTCTGTGCTACTATATAATCTTGATTACAGTGGTACCTCAGGTTAAGTACTTAATTCGTTCCGGAGGTCCCTTCTTAACCTGAAACTGTTCTTAACCTGAAGCGCCACTTTAGCTAATAGGGCCTCCTGCTGCTGCTGCGCCGCCGGAGCACGATTTCTGTTCTCATCCTGAAGCAAAGTTCTTAACCCGAGGTACTATTTCTGTAACCTGAAGCGTATATAACCTGAAACGTATGTAACCTGAGGTACCATTGTATTCCTGTTTTTTATTAGGGTGATTTGTTTTAAAATACTACACCTTGCTTTTCCAGCAACTGAAGTCCAGAGTTGTCTACCAGCAAATACTATTTTGATTTATTTATTTCATACAAATCATATACTGCTTGATTGTAAAACAACAACCCTCAGAGCAGTTTATTAAAACATAGTCAAAATAAAACACATGCAATTAAACAATAACTAGAATAATGAAAGCATAAAACAAGCAAAGCATCAGCTAAATAAGCAGTGAAATAAATAATAATAATAATAATAATAATAATAATAATAATAGAATATCATACCTGCCAAGTGCCCAATTTTTCACACAAGAGTGTGGTAGCCATTTTGGGTGCCACGATCTCACATGCTCATGCTCATGTGCTGCGCTCTGACCCTGAAAAAAGCACTTTTGGGTGGCCGCAATCTCATGCAGCACCCCAAAATGCTTGTTTGGGGGCACCATGTAAGATTGTGTCCTGAAAAAAGCATTTTAAGGGGAGGGGCAAGAGTCTGGTGCAGGTCATGTGACTCTCCCGGAAGCATGTCCAGAAGATATGCATCTTGGTTTTCAATCAGAAAAAATGGATGGTATGGAATATTACGTATCAACAAAGGCTTGGTGCTCTGTGCATACAAGCATAACATATCCTCTGGCATCAACCCAAATCTACTCCCCCAGCGTAATGCAGAAGCACTCCTGCCTGCCATTGCACTGCAATGCAACAAAGGCTGGCCTCACAAGACTATGAGCAGGAAACCTGTAAGCTTGCTCAGTCTGCTGTCCAAGTGTTGGTGATGGGCAACCTCAAGGCCTCTGCTCTCCATTATTATGGTTCTTTAAACATAACCATGGACCTGATAACCTAAACAGAGGACAGCTCGCTGTACAGTAAGGCACATGGCAGCCCTGTCTCCAGTGACCTAGACTTTCACCACAGTTAAAGGCATGGAGTAGTCAGGCCCTTGCAGCTGTGGAGGCAGTAGGTAGGCAGAAGCAGGTAGCTGAGCCAACCTACAGTTGCTTGAGGCCCAGTGTCACAAGTCCATGGCCATGGTATTTTCAAGAGCCATTTTGAACCTGGCTAAACTTCCTCTCTGGCGCATGATTACAGGCTCCCCAACCTCACTTAGTCACAAGTCACTGATGGACACCAGGAGTGATCACCACACCCAGACTGAGCCATAACATCTTCAGGACCCATGCACAAAAAGAAGGATTCTGGCCCCCAAATAAGGCTGTTAAAGTGAACAGCGGAGATTTTTATCATTTTATTATTTCACAACATTTATATACTGCTTGACTGTAGTAAAATCTCAAAGCAGTTTACAAAAAGAATACAGTGGTACCTCAGGTTACAGACGCTTCAGGTTACAGACTCCGTTAACCCAGAAATAGTACCCCGGGTTAAGAACTTTGCTTCAGGATGAGAACAGAAATCGCATGGCGGCAGCAGGAGGCCCCATTAGCTAAAGTGGTACCTCAGGTTAAGAACAGTTTCAGGTTAAGAACAGACCTCCAGAACGAATTAAGTTCTTAACCCGAGGTACCACTGTAAAACTATCAGTTTAAAAAAAGAGAGTTAAAAACAAATGTTGGATTAGAGAATTAGAACATCATTGTCAAGTTCTAGAATCCCTGCCAAAAATTCAATTGCTATCAATCTGCACAGTGAATATGGGGACAGACTGAGGGAAGCACCAGGACAATTATATTTGAGTGCTACTTAGAAGAACAGTTGCTTAAGAAGGTAAGTGATAAAGACAAAAGCAGCTTTTAGAAATTTCCCAAGCATATGATTCATGCTACAAGGCAGGATGTGAAACTGATATTTGTGAAAACGATGGTGTGTTCTCTGTATCTTGCCTTCACTTACCCTGAGACTTTTCTAGTCTTAATGCACATTTCTGTAATCTTAAGGGGGGTGCCCTTGTTAACTAGGGATGTGCTGCAATGTTACTGCAGAGAATGTCCTTATTTCATGCTCCAGTGGGAAGCTAATGGAAGGCTTGAGTAGACAATGTTTCCTTGAACATATATGATCTCCCCTTTTGTATATTCATGGGCACTGGGCTCTGCACTCACTGTTGCCAACTGCAATTACTAGCAAAATAGTATTTTTAACCTACTCATACAGTTCCTATTATTTCAGCTATTCATTCATATCTATTTGGAAGGCACAAATTATATGCAGGGAGCATTGTGGGTTTTTTTGTTCAGTATCCCAGCTTATACTTATTATAAATCATGCCTTGTGCAACTTAATGGATGTGAAGAATATGAAGGAAGAGGGCTCTGAAAATGTTTTGTTCGTCATACGTAGTCTATATACATTTACACACACGTGAGCACAGTACTCACACATTTCTTTCATGAATAAACACCACTCACATTCTTCATGCAAACACATACCATTTTGACATTGATATTCACTCATGCTCCTTAGCTCTCATATACATATGTTGCACAAACCACTGCCTATCTCCTTTAAAGCCATGCCATACCTGGTCATGGCCCACTCAAATCATTTGCCCTGTTTCTTATAGGTCCTGCCCAAAGGCAAGTGGGCAGGCAGTGGGCAGACCTTGCTATGGAAGACTCAGTTGCTGCATTCCCTCTAGACAAATGGGCTGCTCTACAGGTTCATCACCTACCTGATAGCAATCATCCCAACTTTTGGTGGGTAAAGCATTGAGTTGCATATTTAGCTTACTAGGTACCCTGCTAAAGGGATCCTGGAAGCGGTGTCTCAGTCTGGGAGTCCACACAGGGGCTGATAGCACCCTACCAAGTAGCAACCCTGCTGGGCGCACCCCAATGTGATGCATCACAGGGTGACCCTCTACCCAGGGTTGACCTAACCTCTTATCAGTCAGCAGGTGGGCTGACTGACACACCTTCCTCTAAGCCTACTTACATCTGTAATCAATAAAAGTTGTGGCTATTTCAATCCAATATTGATTCTGTATATTATTTTTATCTTGGCTGGCCCCACACTGGACTGCGTACTTCCTGCTCTACGGTCCACAAAAAAATATCCAAATAAAAACATTGAAGGACCACTGAATTAAATGAACTGCATTCATCATTCCAGTCTGTTAACATTCATCCACTTTTCCATTTCCAGAAACCAGCAGGTGAAGTAATCATAGTGGTCAGTTCCCCCAGGTAAGAACACTTAATCATTCACTTAAAATAGAATATATGGGCAGGTTCTAGCTAAAGGTCCTGCCCTTTAACCAAGCACATACTTAACTTTCACAGGGTTGTGTACCTAGGCATGTGATTAAAATGTGATTAAAAACTGCAACAGTTTAAAAATTCCTATTATCTTTTTCCACTTCACTATCAGAGGAAGTAACTTTTGCCAACACATATCAGTCATCCCAGAAATTTGGCAGTGATTCTTTTATGAATCCCTCTTATTTATTAGAGAAAAATCCCTTATGTTACCAAATGCTAATTATACAAATAACCAGTTTTCACAATTGTATTTTCCCCCCAAAGAGTTTGGAAAGAATGAGAGGTAGGAATGCGTATTCAACCTGAAGATGAACATTACAATTCTCATTTTAATCCTCCCTCCCACTCTTCTTCCTTCCACCCACCTTGCTAGGCTTCTGCTCTAGCAACAGCTGTAATGGGAAGAAGAGGTCTCAGTTTCCCCTTTTTCAGTCTCTTTCCCTCCCCAGCAGCTGAAATGCTACTAGGGAGGTATATGCCTGGAATCCTGGGAGATGCTGTTTCTCCCCAGTGCCTGAGAAATGTCAAATGCCTTGCAGAAATCACATCTCCCAGGGTTCACTGTGCATTCTATTCTAGTATATTCCACATGCTGAGGAAGAAGGGAGTACAGGCCTCTTTGCCCATTCACTCCATTGGCTGGTGTGAGCACTGGAGTTGTGGAAGGAAGAAGAGAAAGCCAGAAGACCCCTATGGTTAAGAAACCCCTCTCCCCCCCTAACACAATGGTCACTAACTACTAGATTTCTTCTCACTTTCCCCCACACAATGATCTAACCTCCAATAACATCTTCTACAGAATGCAAGTGACAAGGGCATGCCTACCCACGAAACTGAGGTGACTGCAGTCTACACCCAAAAATAAACTTTAAAACAGACAAGTTACAGCTAATCAAAATTCAGATGCTGTCACAACAACTCTGCCTGCTCCTGATCAATAAAACATGAAATACAGCTCTTTACATTTGCATTTTATTTGATAGATTTATAGAAAAGCAATGCAAACAGTAACCCTCCTGATGTGAAAGGAAAACAAGTTTACTGACATCTATATAAATTAACATTTAAGTTACTCCACAGGAAGCTCTCCGGCACCCAGACCACTACAGGGAGAAATACTACAGCAGAGTCTAAAATAATTTTGTAGTAGATGTAATAGATGTCAAAGCACTGCTTGACTAGAAAGACAAGTCCACGTTTAACAGCCATTTTGAAGAATGAAATATAAAAAAGGAACACTAGTGACAATTTTGCCAAGGCCAGAAGCCTGGAACCTGATGTTATATATAAAGAGTAGAGAGTTATAAATTCTCTCTTCGTACAGTTAATGTCCTATTATTTGCTGACTGATATAACTATTGACAAATGTACACCTGACAAGCTTCTCAGAGAGTTGAATACCCTGGGCAAGAGAACTGCAGGGCCCTCCTTTGCCTTCCTTGTCATACTGCAGGTACAGAGGTGACATTAGTCACTGCCTCCTTCCCCTGAGAGGAAGTTCAGGTGAACATACGTGGCCCACAGTTGAGCTGGTCAGCTTTCCCAACAGAAAACTGGATATTGCCTCAGTGGCCCTCATGTCATTGCACGTACCACTGGGGAAATCTCTCATTCTCTTACACTTTGCAGATGCTTCTAGAATGAGCTCCCGTTTCCTAGTTGTATGGGTACACAACAGCGGCGTGAGAAGCAATTTTCACACACTGCTTCTGAAGCACATAGAAAGCTTAGCCTGGCCACAGCATGCAGAACATGGCAGCAGATCCGCATCTCCAAGCAGTTGTGAGGCCCCACTAGTCAATGGGCCTCAGCATATGCCTGACTATGTCACTTGCTAATACTAGGCTCGTTACAAGATTGTCACCTGCAGAGAATAACCATCACCACTGCTGATTTGTTCTTTGTTAACACTTACCTCTGAATTGTCTGGACTTCACCTAGCACTCTCTCCTCATTAAGATGCAGAATGTTTGAAGACTTAACAGGTGTCAAATAGATATTTGCCAGCCACAGCTATTATTCTACAGGGACGAGCTGCTGTTTCATAAATACTAATTAGAGTTTTGCACAGGATCTTTGCTGGAATACCTAAGGTGATGAGTGGCCAGTTGTTACTTTAAAAAGATTAGCGCAATTTGAAAACTAATGTCCCCAATGAGGCAATGCTCTTGCTGAATAATCAAGAGTTATAGCTAGCCTACCCAAAGAGAGTGCTTGCCTACTTCATCATTTAGAAAATCTGCTGCTTACTGAACAAGTCACTTTTCCGTTTCACTTTGAAAAGTTGCAAAACCTTGTGGAATCAGGGGAATGGCAATGCATGTGTGTGCAACGCATAAAATTTAATGTATTAGAGCCTATGCAGTAAAACTAATGGTTTGGAAGAGTGGAGACTAGTATATGAAGTTAGGGAGCAACAACAAACACTAAAATGAACAAGGGGGAAGGAGGGAGTGTTGAAACAAGGCGGAAGAACAAGGGAGGGGAAATGGGATAATATAAGGGATGCATATTGAAAGCAATTTTTGGAGTTTGGAGAAGGTATCTGCTATTCAGAAATGTTAGTGCCATTTAGAATCAAGCCAAAACTTCCTCCAGAGCACAGGTCTAGTATGCAATGAGTTCACTGCCAGCCATCATTTCCTGTAGATCTCCTTTCCCATCAAAGTTATATTTTCAGGAAGGCAGACTGGAAGGTAGGCTAGATTGTGGCAGAAAAGTTATTGTAGGCCTATTCTTAAATCCTATGTGTTCCTGAATATGCTTAGGAGCATCCTTTGTCACCAGGTTGTATGGCAGTTGTAGTTTCTAATACATCTCAGCCAAATGGAAGAACCCCGACCAAACCTAAGAGGAGGCATGTAGTGGTGATAGGGGATTCCCTACTGAGGGGAACAGAAGCAGTGATCTGTGGGCCTGACAATATGTCTCGGGAAGTGTGCTGTCTCCCCGGGGCTAAGATCCAAGATGTAACTGAACAACTGCAAGGAGTCATAAAACCCACTGACAAATACCCCTTCCTCTTGGTTCCTGTGGGAACCAATGACACTGCAAGCAATAGCCTCCAGAAGATCAAAAGAGACTACGAGGCTCTGGGCAGGAAATTGAAGCAATTAATGCACAAATTGTCATCTCATCTGTCCTCCCAGTTGAACGACGTGGCCCAGGGAGAGAGGGGAAAATAGTGGAAGTGAACAGCTGGCTTCGCAAATGGTGTAAACAGGAACAGTTTGGAATCTTAGATCACGGACTGCAGTTTCTTGAAGATGGACTTCTGGCAAGCGATGGGCTGCACCTCACAACAGTTGGGAGGAATGTTTTTGCCAAAAATCTCAGAAACCTCATCAGGAGGGCTTTAAACTGACTAATGTGGGGAGGGAGACAGTGCTCCTGAAGGTAGGAGTCTATCAATTGATGAAGATGATCATCCAAATGTCATAGACCAAATGGAGCAAACAGCACGCAGACCTAGTGGTGGGAGGAAAAAATCCTTAAATAAGAGACACGGGGGAATGATTAATGGACTTCAATGTCTGTACACTAATGCGCAAAGCATAGGAAATAAACAAGATGAGCTTGAACTCTTGGTACAGCAAACTAAATATGACATAATAGGCATCACTGAAACCTGGTGGGATAAGTCCCACGACTGGAATGTAATAATGGAGGGATACAATCTATTTCAGAGAAACAGACCAGACAAGAAAGGAGGAGGAGTGGCGTTATATGTCAGAGATGTGCATATGTAATGGATTTAGGGGTTGCTCGTGCGTAAGTTGCCGCCACTCCTGGCTAGGTTACCTGGTTAAACCCTTTCTGACTGAACAGCCTCTAGCATCGTGACTGTCTCAGTCGCTGGCAGAATCCGTCAGTGGGCATTTCTTAAACTTCTTCCAGCACAAAAGTTCTTTGATGCCTAGTCTCCGCCTAGACTCCCTGCACGGAAGCCTTCTGCGCAGGGAGGGTGTGGGCAGCGGAGGACCCGTACTCTCACCGCTGGTCTCCGGCGAGGAGTCCTGGAGCCTCCTCTCCGATTCCCCCATCTGCCCCCCTTCTCTACTGGTGTTACGCTGATTTCCTTCCCCAGCGGACGGGCTGCCTCTCTCCCTACTGGGACCCTCTCCGGCATCCCTCTGGAGCCTTCCCTCTGCCTCTAGCTCCGATGGCAGTTCCCTGACAGTATACCTGTGAAGAGATCCAAGATTTAGAACCTCAAAGCCAAAGTGAGAGCATTTGGGTCAAAATTAAGGGAGAGAAGAATAACAGTGACCTCATTGTGGGAGTTTACTATAGATCCCCAAGCCAAACGGAGGACATAGATGATGCCTTCCTGGAACAGATGGCCAAGCATGCAAAAGGAAGGGAGATAGTAGTAATGGGGGACTTCAATTACCCGGATATTTGTTGGATGTCAAACTCAGCCAAGAGCATAAGGTCAAACAGATTCCTCACTGGCCTTGCAGACAACTTCATTGTCCAGAAAGCGGGAGAAGCAACAAGAGGAACAGCCATTTTAGATCTGGTCCTAACCAATGTTGATGACCTGGTTAGTGGGGTAGAAGTGGAAGGATCATTAGGCGTGAGTGATCATGCTCTTCTGAAGTTTACTATACAGCGGAAAGGAGCCGGCAAGCATACTAGGACTCAATTTCTTGACTTTAAGAAAGCCGACTTCATAAAACTTAGGGAAGTGCTGGGTGAGATCCCATGGACAGTAATACTAAAAGGAAAGGGAGTTCATGATGGCTGGGAGTTTGTTAAGAGGGAGATAGTAAAAGCACAACTTCAGGCAATACCAATGAGACGGAAACATGGAAGGTGCCTAAAGAAGCCAGGGTGGCTATCTAAAGAACTTTTAACTGAGTTAAGATTAAAAAAGGATGTCTACAAAAAATGAAAAAGGGGGGAAACCACCAAAGAGTAACTCAAACAAATAGCCAGCACGTGTAGACACAAAGTCAGAAAAGCTAAAGCACAGAATGAACTCAGGCTTGCTAGAGAGGTTAAAAGCAACAAAAAAGGCTTTTATGGGTATGTTCGTAGCAAAAGGAAGAACAAAGAAACAGTGGGGTCACTCAGAGGAGAAGATGGTGAAATGCAAACAGGGGACACAGAAAGGGCTGAACTCCTCAATGCCTTCTTTGCCTCAGTCTTCTCCGATAAAGAAAACAATGCCCGACCTGAAGAATTTGGAGCAAATGATTCAGCAGAGGAAACACAGCCCAGAATAACTAAGGAGATAGTACAAGAATACTTGGCTAGTTTAGATGTATTCAAGTCTCCAGGGCCAGATGAACTGCATCCAAGAGTATTAAAAGAACTGACAGATGTGATCTCAGAACCACTGGCAGTCATCTTTGAGAATTCCTGGAGAACAGGCGAAGTCCCAGCAGACTGGAGGAGGACAAATGTTGTCCCTATTTTCAAAAAGGGGTAAAAAGAGGACCCAAATAATTACCGCCCAGTCAGTATTCTGGAGCAGATCATTAAGCAAACAGTCTGTGAACACCTAGAAAGGAATGCTGTGATCACCAATAGTCAGCATGGATTTCTGAAAAATAAGTCATGTCAGACTAACCTGGTCTCGTTTTTTGACAGAATTACAAGCCTGGTAGATGAAGGGAACGCAGTGGATGTAGCCTACCTTGATTTCAGCAAGGCATTTGACAAGGTGCCCCATGATATTCTTGTAAAGAAGCTGGTAAAATGTGGTCTTGACTATGCTACCACTCAGTGGATTTGTAACTGGCTGACTGACCGAACCCAAAGGGTGCTCATCAATGGTTCCTCTTCATCCTGGAGAAGAGTGACTAGTGGGATGCCACAGGGTTCTGTCTTTTTTTTTTTTATAATTGATATTTTAGGATACAAAAAACAAAAATAGTGCATAAACAAAAAAGAAAAGAAAACCCAGCCGCAAAGAAAGAAAAAAAAAGAGAAACAGAAAAACAAAAATATAAAGTCCTTTACAATCTCTATTGACTTCCTTTCTAGACTTCCTCCTCCGCCCTCTTTTGTTTCTTAATTTTTAATTTTTACAGCAAATCCTTTCTGTTTTTTCATAACAATCTGTCATTACGTTTCCTTATTCTATTTTCCCTCTTGTCATATAAAAACTTTAAAACTCATAGCTTATATTCAATATTTACCAAATTCTTGCATCATTACCTTTTTACTGAATCATTTACCAATCCTTACTTAAGCCATGTAATTTCATTCAACATCCTTCAAACATTTGTAAGCATTCCCAATATTAAAAAATAAAAAGGAAAAATTAATAAGTCAAATTCAGTCCAGTCAGCTTCCAACCTCCCCTCCCCTGGACCCGGGATTGTCAGTCCTTTTAGCCTCCCTTAACCTGGTTGTCTCGTATCCGAGGCCCTCAAGTCTCTTTCTTGCCCCTTTCGCCACTCTTGTTGATGATTCCTTTCCAGTCGTGGATGCTCCAGCAAGAAAATGCTTTTGACCCTTTGCAGCAAGTCCATCCCAAACCCATTGCCCAAGCCAGACAGCAAATAATACCACTTCAAATTTCCACAAAGCTTGGAGACTTTGGCTACTCCAATCCTCTGATAGCCCATCACCAGACTCGGAAGGTCCAAATAACCATATGGAGGGGGGGTCGATCCATCCCCCCATTTCCAAATCTGACCACATTTCATCTTTCCGAATCTGGTTTGTCCCAAGTTCATTTATCAAGTTCAAAGGCTGATCTTGCCCGTCCAAAGGTCCCTCCATCTCTGAAGCCTCCGTCACTACAGCAGGTTCATATGCTTGTATAGCCTTTAACTGAATTTCATTTGTTTGCTGCTGTGCTCTAGTAACTTCCATCCTCAAGGTCGTCTCCTGACGCATCTGGTCCAGCTGGGCACTTAGTTTTGAAAAACCTTCCAGGAACAATTGTTCAAGCCTTTGTACTAGCATTGTCCTTCAAGGTCAAAGAAAATTCTTTCCCACGAGAGTAGTCCAATAGTCCTTCTGCGTTGCAATTTCACTAAATTCCACTAGATGGAATTTTTTTTTTTTTTTAAAGGAATAAAAGCAACAGCAACAATCTTTCTTTTTCCAGAAACACTTTATCCTAAATTCCCCCTTCCAAATTCAAGAGGCAACAGTAGAATCAAAATGTTACCCTTCTTTTAACTAACTGTCGAGCTGGATAAACTTCAGAACGTCAATTCTGACAGCCCGCTCCTGGTTCAGGGCGGTGGAAAATTGCTTTATTTTAAACTCACTTCCGCAGGATTGAAAAGTCCAAATACAACCCCCTTTTTCTCCTGCTGTCAAAGGGGGTTCAGAAATCTTAGATGTTGAATTCTAGTTCTCTTAAAATTTAATTTTCAGGCTTTAGTATATTTTGTCTTTGCTTTCTTCACATAACAAAAGAACGGAAGGCGACTTCCTGTTTAGACCTTCCCATTCCGAGTCCCAATTAAGTTCAATTTCAAGTCCAATATTATTTGTTTATTCACCAGTCTTAAAAGTGGTTCAGCTCTTCTAAGATCAGGTACTCACGGATAGATGTTTTAGATGCCAAATTGTCCAGGAAAAAGGCAGCGCTCTCCGATAACGGCAGTGCGGCTTTGCTGCACAGAGGAAGCAGACGACTCACAGCACCACGCACCTCCCACTCCGGAGCCCGTTACCGGGCTCCTGTACAAGGGGAGAGCGCTCTCGGTGCCCGCCGAGTCCCACGTCCACAGGCTTCTTCCGCCTGTGGTTTTTGCGGGTCCCCGCTGCGCCGTAGCGGCAGGACCCAAGCCTCCGTGCAGCGGGTTCCCTTCAGTCCGAAGGGAATTCCGCCATTTTCCGGAGGCGCCACCCCGGAAGTCTCGCCACAGGGTGCTGTCTTGAGCCCGGTCTTATTCAACATCTTTATCAACGACTTGGATGACGGACTCAAGGGCATCCTGATCAAATTTGCAGATGACACCAAACTGGGAGGGGTGGCTAACACCCCAGAGGACAGGATCACACTTCAAAATGACCTTGACAGATTAGAGAACTGGGCAAAAACAAACAAGATGAATTTTAACAGGGAGAAATGTAAAGTATTGCACTTGGGCAAAAAAAATGAGAGGCACAAATACAAGATGGGTGACACCTGGCTTGAGAGCAGTACATGTGAAAAGGATCTAGGAGTCTTGGTTGACCACAAACTTGACATGAGCCAACAGTGTGACGCGGCAGCTAAAAAGCCAATGCAATTCTGGGCTGCATCAATAGGAGTATAGCATCTAGATCAAGGGAAGTAATAGTGCCACTGTATTCTGCTCTGGTCAGACCTCACCTGGAGTACTGTGTCCAGTTCTGGGCACCACAGTTCAAGAAGGACACTGACAAACTGGAACGTGTCCAGAGGAGGGCAACCAAAATGGTCAAAGGCCTGGAAACGATGCCTTATGAGGAACGGCTAAGGGAGCTGGGCATGTTTAGCCTGGAGAAGAGGAGGTTAAGGGGTGATATGATAGCCATGTTCAAATATATAAAAGGATGTCACATAGAGGAGGGAGAAAGGTTGTTTTCTGCTGCTCCAGAGAAGCGGACACGGAGCAATGGATCCAAACTACAAGAAAGAAGATTCCACCTAAACATTAGGAAGAACTTCCTGGCAGTAAGAGCTGTTCAACAGTGGAATTTGCTGCCAAGGAGTGTGGTGGAGTCTCCTTCTTTGGAGGTCTTTAAGCAGAGGCTTGACAACCATATGTCGGGGTGCTCTGATGGTGTTTCCTGCTTGGCAGGGGGTTGGACTTGATGGCCCTTGTGGTCTCTTCCAACTCTATGATTCTATGATTCTATGAAATGAATTGGGCTGGTGGTTTAAGAAACTAAAATTTTGAATCCTATGCATTGCAAGTGCAAAAAGATGCTCCTGAACATGCTCAGGAATATCTAATTTTTCTTCCTCTGGCCAACCCTCCTGTTGGAGGACCTACTGGGACTTAAGCTAGATCTGTGTGTAGCTTCCTCAAGAGATGAGCCATCAAATTCAGCATCTACCTAGGCAGCAAAGTGCCCTCAAGCCCTGAACTGTCTGGCGAGGCTGGCCATTGGATTCTTCTGGACAGGAAGGAATATATGACAGTTCTAGTTGAGCCTTGCCTGAGCAACACTGTTATCCTGTATTCTTTGGGCCCTTTGATTCTGCCTCCTGGTTTGTCCATTGGTCCTAGCCTCCGACTTTCTCCTTGCTGCTACTTACACCTTGGTCCTGACTATTGGCTCTGTCTCTTGACTCTGATCTTCTGGTGCAGCTCCTGGTTCCCAGCTCGTTTCTTACTGCCATCTCTCTCATCTCTGTACAATCAACCCCCTGCCCCGCACTCCACACAATGGTATGCTTCCTTGGGTGGAAGATGGCAGAAGAAGTTAGGCTCAAGCTCTCGCCCATCAACGCCTTCCAAGCATTCTCAGGGAACTTGTGTGAAAGTCCCCACCTTCTTCTGAAAATTCTCTTGAGAAAGCTCAGACAAGCCAAACTACTTAGGTGAGTCGGGAAAACCACACCCAACAGTAACTAGCAGTGGCAGCAAATGTGAACACTGTTGATTCAGAATGTGTCTCTGCCCAATTCATACAGAAAGCATTGAAAATTACATGTTGCACACATCCTAGTAGGAACTAATGATCCTAAGCAAGCTCAGGAGCAACCTGGCTAGTTAAAAAGAGAACTATTAAGACATTTCCTATCTTCAGCAAATTCTCTCCACCCCCAGATTCAGGTAGGTAGTCGTGTTGGTCTGATGCAGTCAAAATAAAAAATTAAAAAATAGTCCAGTAACACCTTAGAGACCAACTAAGTTTGTTCTGGGTACAGTGGTACCTTGGGTTACAGATGCTTCAGGTTACAGACTCCGCTAACCCAGAAATAGTACCTCGGGTTAAGAACTTTGCTTCAGGATGAGAACAGAAATCGTGCTCCGGCGGCGCAGCAGCAGCAGGAGGCCCCATTGGCTAAAATGGTACCTCGGGTTAAGAACAGTTTCAGGTTAAGAACGGACCTCCAGAATGAATTAAGTTCTTAACCCGAGGTACCACTGTATAAGCTTTCGTGTGCATGCACACTTCTTCAGAAGTGCTACTGGACTATTCTTTAATTTTTTATCTCCACTCCCAGTTCTCAACTCATTTGCAAAACAAGCTTGCTTGGGAAGTATGGAGATGGCATAGAGGACTGGGGCTGATCTCTAGCTTTCTTTTTTTAAAAAAATTAAGTACTGTAAGACCCTAACAGTTTTTTGATAATTTTCCTAGAAAGAACAAGGGAGTGCCTTCTATGGTAAGCTAGTGTGAGCTCACACATCACTGATAAGGGCAGTATACACAGGTCTATTGTATCAACTCACAAAAGAGATCCACAAAAGCATAAACACATTTCCCAAAAAAACATATTCACATCTTTAAAAAGGAAAAATAAGAGTTTGTTGACAATTGTAAGAGGAATCATCAAGAAAAAAAGACCTGAGGTTTTGCCATTTAATGAGCAAGTCATTTTGATCAATTTAATCTGACAAGTTACATCACATCTCATTGGTTTAAATTAGCATCTTTCCCGTTTCATTGTGTCTTTCTTATCTGCTGTGAAATGCAACCAATATAGCTTGATATGACACAACACTATGTTACTTCACAGAAGTTGTGGTTTAGTGCCATGAGTTCTGACTGACATAATTGACATAAAACCCCTAACAATGAGTTTTCAGAATATATATGATGCCATCTGATAACATACAATGATATTTAGTATTTGTCACTTAGCGGCTTGCAATATATTTGATATATTACTAACAATAGATGCCAACAAGTCAAACAGCTTGAGCCTGTGCTTCTCATATACAACCTCCGCACAAGCAACCAGCAACCACAAGGAGACCACAGAAGTTCCTGGGGCTGTCATGTCCCCGGTTGGTCTAAGAAGGACTCTGATACAGATGTTACAGCAGTCACCCCAACTCAAGGGAGCCCCTCAACCTGATGGGAGTCTTTTGACATGGCTCTTCCATCTGCCTCAGAATCTGAGGACGATTCCACTGTACCTTTTCATTCTCCAGAACCACACAGGAAACTGCAACTGTAGAATAGGTTACAGTACAGACTCTTTAAATCAGAGGTTTCCAAACTGTGTGTGTCGGCTGCAGTGTGTAGGTGTGTCTCACAAATGCTCCCCACCCTCCCACCGGGGCTGGAAAGGAGTTTGCTTAACCTCCAGTTTGCTAGTAAAACTGAATTACTCTGTCGTGAAATGATGCATGTATAAAAAGTGTGTCGCCAACATTACAAGTTTGGAAAGTGCTGCTTTAAATATTGCAGACAGCTCTCCCAGAGGCAGGGGTGCCAACCTGAATTTTGGAGTAAGGAGTGCAGATAAGCCCTGCCCCACATAACTGATCACATTATGTGGCGCATGCACACCATTTGAATGGCAATGCCCATCAACTTTTGGGGAGGTCCAGCCCCCTTAAATATTTTATTGGGGAAGATGAAAACCCCTCAGCCCCTAGGAGTTGGCTCCTATGCCTAGAGGAGTGGAACCACTGGAAGCTCAATGTTTTTATCGTAATAGTGTGTCTTTAGTCTGTATGCCCCCTTGTGATGTTTATATGAAAGTGTGGCTTTAAAATATTTTATGTAAGTAAATAATAACATAATTCTAGATGCTTTAATCTACTTCTAAAATGTATCTTATATTCCATGACTGTTGAAGTGTAGGGGCATTAGTTATGCTCCAACCATTTCCAGACAAATCTAGGAAAATGGCCATACCCCTTTCCATATAGGAAATAAAATAAATTCTGCACATGGCATCTATAGACAGATTACAGTCAACGTAGCTGCCAAATGAAGCTATGCCATTCTGTGTGCATGCAGAAATAGCTTTATTTATTTGAGTGGTACCCCTTCTGCCTTTTATTTTTATTTTCCCCTGCAGTATTTGATACTTGTCACTGTCTGATGAAATTGTAACTGGTCTGATTTAGTCAGCTTGTTTGTATATAGTGGGAAAGATGCCTGAAGGCAAAGAAGAAGAACAAGGGAAAGTTCCTTCTCGGGAGCACAGCAATCTTTGTTTTAATGTACATATGAACAACAATTTGAAACACTGAAATATTTAAGTTACTGAAGAATATGTGCAAGAATATCCCTTAAAACAACAGAAAAGTCTGTATATTTGTAGGCATATTTTACACAGATTTTTACAGATTGATGTTTCAATGTGAAACCACATCAGGGGAATAATGAAGAGGAAATCAGTGGTACTTAATTAACAGCAAAAATTAGAAATTAATTCTGTAAATAGAAAGATCCAGAAGGTGCTTGGTGTACTTGATGTATTTGGCTTGAAACTGTTACAAATAAGATTTTGGGGAACAGAATGGATGAGAGAACAATAATAGTTCATCTGCCTGCATATGTGGTACTTTATGGGTTTTACTCCATCCAAAATTAGTAGTTTCATAGTTCTAAGAGGATAATTTACAAAGGAAATCTTTGCTAGCAAGATCTCAGCATCTAAAATCCCAATTAATTGGGCTCTTCTTGGGTGGCATGAAGTAAAACAAAAACAAGGCAGCCTGATCTTATCTAGCTTTCCATGCTTGTTCTGCTGTGTCTAACCTCTCAAATGCCTCCTCCACATTTATCAGGTAAATTGTATACACATATCTTACTATAAGAGACTACTGGTGAAAATTTGCAACAACCTTTACCAGCAAAGCATCCAACTGAGTCAACTGCCAAATAATATGCAAAAATGCAAAGGAATATTGTTTATTGTCTCTGACTCTGGTATGGGCTGTATAACTACCCTCCTATGCCAAAGCTGCCACTCACAAGGTTAAGCCATAATATAAAAACAACTAGCCTCTGTTGTGGAGAGAGAAATAGCACAATAGCTGAAGTATATACAAAGAAAACAAAGATTATCCAAGTTTAACCAAATAAAACAAAGAGCAGCAGTTCCAAGATATATTGTGGGCAAAGCTTTTTCCAAAACCACAATTATTAACTGGTGTGGTAACTTACCATTTCGGCCTGCTTGTGGATTTCACCATTGGAGCCATTCCATCCCGATAGAGGCTTTTTGTTTTACTGAAGTTTACAATGTTGAAAATGACTCTCTGAAAGACACAAGGTGAGGGAGAATCTCAGTTGTTTATTAAATATATTTCACATAGATCACCAATGTTAGAGCTGTGTAACCAGATACCAAATTTTGAAATATAAACAAGACAATAATTTTAAAAATCCTTCAGGGGCATGTAGAATGCTTTTGCTTATATATTTAATTTTCCCAGTATTCTCGTTGCATGGCTGAAAGTTGCTAATTGTATTCTACTGGTAATCATTCCAGTTGGGAAAAGAAAGAGAAAAGAAAACGGGAAGACAAGAAAGGAGATATGAGCAAATGTGCAAAAAAAGAGAACATTTATTATTACTCGGCCTCTAGTGTATTCCTTGCCAGAAACAAGATATGAAAGAAAACCCATGGGAATATGTTTTGAACCTACCCCAAAACCAAAACACCAGGTGTTTTTTTTTGGGGGGGGGGAGTCTTTCCTACCTAATAAGACACCACAGGCTATGTTAGGCACAGTGTGACATTCCAGTTAAAAAACAAATCGTAACAGTGTATTTGTGGAACACCTGAACCAGATTAAGAACTGGCTAATGAATTTGAGAAAGTAGCCATTAGTGGAAATAGTTTCTAATTTAAAAAGTAAGCAATTTCTTAATATTTAATAATAAATGGTAAATTTTATCACCTTGCACTCTGAAATCACCAGATGGGGCCTGGATGAATCTCCTGACACCAGGGGTGGTGAACTTCCAGCCCATGGGCCTAATTAGGCCCACCAGGCCATTTTGGCCAAACCATGGCCATTTGCCTTACACCTGATGGCATAGATATTGTGTCAGGTGTGCTGGTTCTAACCAGAAGATGAAGAATATGAAGTATGGTTTCTGCCAAAATCTTTAATGCTCAAACCAATATACTATGTAGGTCAAATAAGTTTCAAAGACACAGCAGGGTATATCCACAGATAAGTCAACTAGGACATTAATCCAACAAGCACTCCCTTGGGTAGTCAGGGGAAATGACTGAAGGAAGTTCAAAAACATAAGTCTTGTAAGGACTTGGATTCTTAAGTGGGTTACCTGAGACAAAGGTGATTAAGCTGAGGCTGAAGCTAGGGGAGGGGCAGGATTCTTTAAGACATAAGGTTTATGGAGGTAAGACAATATAAATTTCCCACCACAGGATGACTAGACAGTCTTGGAGAGCAAAAGTGAGGATTGCGTGAGCCAATAAGGAGAAAGTGTCCCAAGTCCATTCCATATTTATGAGTGACAAGGCTGTCTCATGTGCAGAATGGGGAGGGGCACCCTTAAAAAATGTAAATGAGCACTCTGATTAGATTACCAATGGGCAGTGCCAACTGGAAGGCTTTTGTCTTTCATGTCAGCAGTTGGCAAATACAGTGGTACCTCGGATTACATACGCTTCAGGTTACAGACTCCGCTAACCCAGAAATATTACCTCGGGTTAAGAACTTTGCTTCAGGATGAGAACAGAAATCATGCAGCGGCGGCCCAGCGGCAGCAGGAGGCCCCATTAACTAAAGTGGTGCTTCAGGTTAAGAACAGTTTCAGGTTAAGAACAGATCTCCAGAACAAATTAAGTTCTTAACCTGAGGTTCCACTGTAGGTTAGAATTAAATGATACTCTCCAACATTTGACTGAACAAATTCGGGGCGAGCAGGAGTCAGTTGACTCATGTTTCCTCCTCACAGCTTTCTCCTGTGCATGGGGACGTTACTATCTCCCTCTCTACAAGCCTACTAGCAGTTACTGCTTCCCCCATCTTGCCCTCTTACTCCCACACTAACTGCCACCCAGTTTCAATCCTCGGCCTTTTCCTTGAAACGCATGTGACTTCAAAGACTCCTACAGTCAACCATAGAGTCCTACAGTCAACCATGGAGAGGAGAGGGAAAAACAAGAGCGTATCCCTTGAGCTCTGTAGCTCTATACTTAATCAAGGAGAATCTCCCCGTGCTTTCAGGGTAGATGTGTGATTATTTCGAAGCACCTCAATGCTTTTCAGAAAATTCCTCTCTCCCTTGCTTCCTTTGGTAATCCAAAACAAAATGATCAGATTTCCATTTTATCTATGGCCCATGGAGAATATGCTAAATGCCAACAACTGTCTCAAGCTATGTATAAGAAAAAAACCAGGAAGCGCACTCTTTCCCCAAAGTTTATTCTAGTCCATTTCTAATAAGGCTCAAGGTGAAGGGGCTATGTTGGCATTGTCAGTAAAGCAAAGCAACATTCATTTGTGGCCTCAGGAGAGGGAAGAGGAGAGACCAACAGGGCAGGAAGCTTGAGGGCTCTGCAGGGTGCTAGAATCCAACCTTCTCCATCCCAAAGGTTATTAAGCATTAATGAGGCTTTGGGAATAAACCCTCATGCTGCCTTCCGATGCTGCTGTCGCAGCCGAAAAGTGGGGTGCCCCAAATCCAAAATAAAACCCTGGGGCACCTGACCGAAAACAGGGACTGCCAATAGGGCAAAATTGGGGCTCTTCAGGGTCTGTTGAATTAAGTATTCACATACACCTGGAATTCTTGCTCCACCTTCCCAAGTGGACAAGTTTGTTTACTGCTGATGGGGATAGCCAGTATATATACCCAGATGATGTTAGACTGCAACTCCCAATCAGTTTCATCCAGCATGTCAAATGGTTAGGGATACTAGAAGTCCAACATCATAGGAGGGCCACAGGTTCCCCATGGCTGATGTATGTACTAATTATGTACTTACTAACTAATTGTGGTTTTCAGTTTGCTATGTTCAAGCTGACTTTTTAATGGGCAGGATGTCCATGTAGTACAATTGCTGTGTTTCTGCTGTTTACATTCCCAAAATAGAAATATGGCAGTTTGTGATATTAATATTCAATAGTAAAAATGTGTTCATTCCAAACTGTAAAATAGAAGCATTTTAAATAAAATAGAAGCTGTTTAATTTGACCTCTGTTTATAAAACCAAATTAAGCTGGAGCAAATTGGTTAATTAAACCTGATGTTCTTGGTGAATAATCTAAACTAACAAAGTGCCTCTATTACTTTAATGCAATTATGCTGAGGTTGGCATGAAGGTACTTTCTAATTCTACGAAGTGGATAATGACTAACACAGGACAGGTGGCAGACACTAAGAATGGTCTCATCCCAACCAAGTGGGTGCCCACACATCTCTGCTACTTGTTTTGGGTAAATTTAAAGAACTAGGTTAAGCAGTGAATTTATAAATATTTGAAAAAGTATAATTATACAGCTTCAACCCCTTTCTCTTAAAGTGCAGTTAGCAAGCAGTTTCAGTCCTTTCAGGAAGCTATGCTACCTAAAATCATTTCATAGCAGTGATTAACTTTATCAAACTATGCCCCTAGTCTAATGTAACATATAAACCCCAGGTTTAAAATTAAAATAGGGAGCTTTGGCATATTATTAGTACATGTAAAACTCTACTAGATAGCCTACCAAGTGAAGTATATAAAATGTAATAATGTCAATACACACCTTAACAGAAACAGAAAATATGCAGCTTGCTCACTAAAGTATACAAATATATCCTGAAGTGAAATAGTGTAATACAAGTTTGTGATACAGTAAGGAAACATTTGCTGACATTAATAAAATAAATAGCTGCTAGATTTGACACACACACCCCTTTTGCAGGCAATTTAAATATTCCTGCTGGCTTTACGTAAGCGCTTTTTCCTTCTTTACACATTTTTTGGTTAATTGTGACAGTCTGATACTAAATCATGCAATACAAAGTTGGCATTTATTTCAGCAATGCAATACTTGCATCATATTGGTGATACTAACCAGCATAACAACAACAACAACAACAACAACAACAACAACAACAATGACCCACCCATTGAATTGGGTTGCCCCAGTCACTCTGGGCAACTTCCAACATATATAAAAACATAATGAAACATGTCTCAAACTTCCTGAATTAACCCCCCTCCCCCATACCAACAACTACTTACCCTATCTTCCAGGATAAGCACCACCATCCCATTCCAACCAGTGACAAGCAGTGTAGATAGTGTTTTATGTGCTACATTATTTCATGTTATTTCATGTTTGAGGGCAGAGGGACGTTAAAGCCCTTTGATTTCAGGTGTGGGGAACCTTTGGCCCTCAGAATGTTGCTGAACTACATCTCCCATCATCCTCAGTCATTAGTCATGCTGACTAAGGCAGATGGGAGTTGTAGTTCTGCAACATCTGGAGGACCAATGGTTCTCTCACCCTATTCTGCATGAATTAGCATTGATTCCCCAGGGTTTAAGAAAGGAGTGTTCTCCAGTCTTGTTTGGATATGCTGGGGATTAGGAACTTCAGTGTGAAAAGCAAATGCTCTACAACTGAGCTATTAACTTAATTCTGTATGTGTTAAATTTCATGTGAACATTTGTCAAAGGTAGATAATACAATTTTTATACAGCCTGCAACTAGGCACATTTCACTTGGATGCATTTGGATTTATGACCTTCACAATTAAAAAAAGAAAATGGAAAGGGGGCAGATGTCCACGAAAAATGACGTTGGCAATCTTACCCACCATTAACCAATGTGCTTTGACTATACATAATTTTGGCTTTAGGCATGATCCCTGGAATATAACCCCCACATAGGTTATGGGCTTACTGTACTTTCTGGGTGTTCAAACCATGGTGCCTACTAATAACAACAGCCACTAACCAATTTTTGTCCCACTTGTGACTGTGCAAATAAATCAAACTTCTGTACAAACCTGCCAAGAAAGACTGGTAAACATTACATCTTTCAGTTTTAGTTCAGCCAGCAATATTTAGTTTTAAATATCCAGTTGAATCACTCCTTTCACATAATACATAACTGCTGCTTCTTTTTTGAAAAAATTAAATATTTATGGCATTTAGTCCTCCCCTACCAGTTAACAAATATTTAAAGCCTGTCTGCTGTCAGGGCAAGAAAATTCATTCCCACCTGTGGAGGGAACTGTACAGAGCCCTAGCTGATTTGTTAATCAGGAGCACCTGTGCCTTGTTATGTTTAAGTTGTCAAAGCATAGGTAGCTACTGAACTCATTTAAAATGGCAATGAAGAGGAGAGCTTACATATTTGCATGCTTTCGCCCACTTCTTGGACTTCCTATTAAAGATGCTTTAAGAGGAGAAAAAAACCCAAAAATAAGACAGAGAAGAATGACTGTATTTAGCTGAATACATTATAACGTAAACATGGCAAAAAGCAACTATCTTTCCTTTAACAAAATATAGCCAGATGGTTGTTTTTGTGCATTCTTGTGAATAAACTTTTGACAATTCGTATTTGGAAATGATTATTTTGTTCTGGCAATAATTGCAAGATAGTTGGTATAAAATCCATGTGTGGTTTGTTTTGGTTTATAACTTTTAAATTCCACAATGCACATTCCGTACCTTGGTAGTAGTCTTTGCAACAAAGTATTTTAAGTATGGTCATGCATTAAACTTCTCAGTTTCCACATAATTAGAGAAGCTATCCATGTTTAGGCATCCATGTTCTTTTCAATCACTATTATGGCTGCAGGTGGGTGGTAACAGCTGGCTGCTTTAGAAGTTTACTTGCAAAATCTGCTGATATCTTAATCCTCAAGAGAAGGCAGCTGAGTGATTCAAGTTTCCATTCTTAAGGGTAAGCATTATTATGCAGAAAGAAGCAACACTATGAAGTTTAGCAAGAAATTACCGCAGATTCAGGAATGTTAACATTGCAATTGAAACTGTATACTGGGTAGGGTTCCATGATTCACTTTCCATGGGACAGAACTTCTGTTGCATTAACTGTTGTACGGACAGAATGTTTCATCACGGGCATTTTCCCCCTCTTTATAATATTGCTTTAATATGTCTTTGATGAATTTCTCCTTCCTTCACAATAACCAGCATCATGGGAGTCCTGTTCCAAAAGTATTAGGAAAAATAATGTGCTGCTAATACGTGACAATATCTACGTGTGCAGTGCCACTGTGTGCAGAGATACAACAAAGGAAGTCCAGATCAATTTTGTGCACAAAAACAGAGTTTTCAATGCATGGACAGGAGTCACCTAACCAGCCCTGTCAATGGAAGCCGTGTGCAAGGCTTTCTCCTTGTGCAGTGGGGCTTTAACCCTGGCACCCCAACCCTGAAATAGGCTAGGGAGTGGGGTCAGGAGAACCTCCAGAACACTGTGCTGTAGGAGGAGAGGGGGGGATTGTTCCATAAGGCAATCTGTAGTGCTTCTTCACATGAAGTTATTGGAACAGTGTGATAATGAATGTCATCCTATGCAATTTTGGCCTTACCACACTCTAGCTACAGGACCTTCATTTGCAAACTGAAAATCCATGGCCTACAGAGAATTTGTAGTAGTCTAACCTTGTTTCTTATAATAATCTGATGCAATAAAAACTGCCAAACCCTTTGAATTCTTCACAACTGTTCTCTTGTTACAATTGAGTGACAACACTGTAACAGCAGTCTCTCTATTTACTTTTTATCAGTCAAGGTTTCACAGTTTTGGTCTTTTTACCAATGAAGCAATGCTTTTATGGTAGGTTACCAGATGTGATATGTCAAGCATAGGCATCCTCGGCCCTCCAGATGTTTTGGGACTGCAATTCCCATCATCCCTGACCACTGGTCCCGTTAGCTAAGGATCATGGGAGTTGTAGTCCCAAAACATCTGGAGGGCCGAGGTTGCCTATGCCTGTGATATGTAAATCAAAGTATGGAAATAGAATCTGACAATGCCCAATTGTGTCTGTGACGTGGTCAGTGTGTGCTACAAAATTAGTCATTTGTGCGTCTACCTGTGTTGTGTGAAAATAATTGGGCTGCCAGCCTTGGAGCTTACACGTATTTTTCAGTTAATGTTTTGTGGTCCCTTAGACATAGTGACCCCTTCATGGATCCCTGCCTTGTTGTGGCGAAGGGGCTTGAATAATTCAGAGAAGCTATGAGCTATGCCGTGCAGGGCCACCCAAGACGGACAAGTCATAGCTGAGAGTTTAGACTAAATGTGATCCATCTGGAGAAGGAACTGGCAAATCACTCCAGTATTCTGCCAAGAAAACTCCATGGACATAAAAAAGGAGAAGCTTTGAGAAGAAAGTGAGAATTTCCAAGGCATGCTCTGGTTCATGGGGTCACGGAGAGTCGAACACGACTAAGATGACTATACTACAACAACAAGACATAGTGATGAGAATAGATTTGCTCTTATGGTTCCTGTTTCCTCATTCTATCTCCTACTGTTTCCCCATTAGACTAGTGAAAGCCTTTTTGCAATGAAATTGCAGCCTCCTTAGTCATCATGCAACACCAAGATTTGCAACATGGCACTAATGCTATGGCCCTTGTATTTGATCCTATCTACTTTTTGCCCTGATCATATGAGCAGGCTATAACTTTGACTCTCTACATCCTCTGGTTTTTCACATCTCCTTCTATAAGATGCATCTCAGAAGGCAGATATATAATGGTTGTGTGGTCTTAAAACAATGAATGCCAAAATAGTATGTTTCTTCAATTATCAATGTGTATATAATTCTCCCAGCTAGGCTATCCCTTTAGAAATCTGATGCTGTAGGCTCTATCTCAAAAAAGCTTATGCCATCATAAATGTGTTAGCTTTTAAGGTGCCAACGGACACTTCGTTGCATGACTGTTGAGAAACTGAGCAATACATAGTGTAATGTTGAAAGAAGGAAGTAGGAAGACTTGATACATAAGGAAGGAACAAAAAATTATTACTATATTGCCGAATGTAGGGAAAACAGATGGTCTCCAGAAAAGCAAATTAGCTAAATTACTGGTAGCATCACAGGGATTATGTCTTTCTGTTAAAAAAAAGAAAAGAAATAAGAGATTCTCCAATAATTAAACACAGATTGGGTTTAATTCAGCGGTAGCCATTTTGTTGGTGATATTTTGTAGTAGTTTGAATGGCTTTTATTGCTATTACAAGGTTAATCACAGGCTTTGCTATTCAAGTTTAGGTCTCTCGTAATCTTTCATACTACAGAATAGTAAAAAAAGTAAGATTTAATTTCAAATTTCATTGATAATGGTAGTGGAACAATGCAGGTTTGTTGTTGTATAGCATTACTATTCTAATATCAGAAAACTAGTTTCAGTTGTAAGATCAACAACAAAATTGAAAGGTTTTCATTGTTGTTGATTTGCCAACATTGGTGATTTCTGGCCCCACACATTCAGCTGGACACAGCCTGGACTAGGTTTTTGGTGCTGGATAGGATAAGGGTAATCTAGATACAGGCTTAGATACAGTTCTGTTTTCATGGACAGATGGTTATCCAGTCAGAATTAGGATCACTGGCATACCAAAACTTTGCAGGGGATCTGTTCTGATGGCTCCACCCAAAAGACTAAAGGATCAGAATGTTTTTCTGATTGTTCTTGCGGATTTCCCTATCACACCAGCTGCTGATCCTGTCAAACCTGCGGTCGACTTCTGGAACAGAGAAATAGCCAGGGACATTTACATGATTGCTCCTGAACATTCTCTCCATGGAAGTGGAGCTCAGCCAAGTTAATTATTATGTGATTTGAGGAATGCTGGCAAAGAAATGACAGGGAAGAGTACTCAAGTGATAATGGCAGATTTGTGACAAATATGGTCGAACACAAGCTATAGCTTATCACAGACCTTTATCTGGGGCAATGGTGGTGGCAAAATAAAAATAAAAAACCCTCCCACCACAACATCCACTCCATGTCACCCTCAGAAAGGGTGTTATGCTGATAGACACTCGGCTACCCTGCCTGTCTGTCTCTGTAGTCCTCGCTCCCATTGATAGTAGCAGGTTCCATCTGCTTTGTTAATTGGAGACAAAAATGCTGGTAATAAATGGTGATATTGAAGCTGGTGTCATCAAGCAACAGTTTTTTATCTGCATAATTGTGGTATTAATTAGCTGGTTAGTTTCCTATGACCAGGCATTTGTACAGCCGTCCTGATTTTTAAAGAAAAAAGAGTACCTGTTCTTCCCCTGTACTCCTCTCACCAGGCAGCAGGAAAGGAACCAATGCAGCCTGTCCATTTGCTTAAGCAGGGGGCAGTGGGTGAGCAAACGGCTAAGGGAATTATTATTATTATTATTATTATTATTATTATTATTATGCCCTCTCACGGTCAATGTGTAGCAAAAGATTTATCCCCTTTCACATTTGGTATTTAAATAGGGTAAAACATATACCATATGACCAGAATTCCTAAATATGAGAAGCTTCACACATTCATTTTCACACCTGTGATACCCAAGTTCATACCAAATTGCTTTTGACGATGTATTCTTACATCCCTGTTTTCTATATTTTCTGATGAAAGGAGGCATTGCAACGATAGGTACTGATTGATGCTCAACTTGACTACTAATTTGCTTCCAAAGTAAACTGGCAAGTGAAGCTGACATATTCAGAACTCCTAAGCACCAAATGATGCTATTATACCAGTTGTAATTTGAATATTAATGTAGTTATAGCCTTATAAAAATATTATAGCATCAAGCAATTTGTCCATATACCATTCCCTCCCACTATCTGCCACCCAAATAATAAATGATACCTATTATATTAAGGCATAGAATCAGTACTTTATAGTATCTGTTGTAACCTTAGAGCAGCCCTGGGATTTATAAAAATGGAAAATCTAACTGCATTGAGCCAATTTTATTCTTTCTAAGTGCTAAAATTAAAATCTCTTATGTACTGTAATGTCACTACTGGGTGTTTTTTTTGGCATAATTTCTTTCTTGAGCATGCATCTGCTCAGAAGAAAATAAGAGAAATGTGGATATCTGATTCTTTAAGCTTGACTGCTAAATGAATTATTTTAAATATTTGTAACCTGCGATTTGGCCTTCCAAAAGGTTTCAATACAGCCCATGACAACAGCAAAATGTAAAGTACAACACTAGATAAAACAAAGCAATAAAGGTAATCCCAAATGATGAATTCGCAGTATGAAAGCCACAAACGCAGTATCAACACACCAAAACCAGTTTTGAGTCAACAAAGTCAACCTCAGCTTACTGTAGTTCAGAAGGGATATATTTGGTGGGAGTTCCAGGGAGAAAGCACCCACTCAGGGAAAAAGACTTGTGCATAATGCATTCAAGTCTGAAAAAAGTAGTACTGTAAGCACCATTTTAGGACTCTTAATGTGGAAGCCAAGTGGCAGGAGTGGCTGGTGCAGTGAGGTGAGAGTGCAGAGCCAGCCATCAGACAGCAGGATTGCACTGTGGGGGTGGGACAGGCAGCAGTGAGGTGAGGTCAGGACTCTGTGAACACATGAGTAAAGCCAGTCTGGTGCTCTTGCCAGTGTGCACAAGCACCCCCAACCTTACTGGTCTGCCTGGCTCGAGTAAGCACCCAAGATGCTGAATTCTGGACTCACAGCTGTCCATGGAGGCACAGGTCAATTCTGTGACCATGGCAGCTGTTTATCAGCTCCATCTGGTACGCAGGCTGAGACCCTACCTGCCCACGAACTGTCTCGTGGGCATGCTCTAGTCATCTCTCGCTTGGACTATTGCAATGCATTCTATGTGGGGCTACCTTTGAAGGTGACCCGGAAACTACAACTAATCCAGAATGCGGCAGCTAGACTGGTGACTGGGGGCGGCCACCAAGACCACATAACACTGATCTTGAAAGACCTACACTGGCTCCCAGGACGTTTCCAAGCACAATTCAAAGTGTTGGTGCTGACCTTTAAAGCCCTAAACGGCCTCGGTCCAGTATACTTGAAGGAGCGTCTCCACCCCCATCCTTCTGCCCGGACACTGAGGTCCAGCGCTGAGGGCCTTCTGGCAGTTCCCTCCCTGTGAGAAGCCAGGTTACAGGGAACCAGGCAGAGGGCCTTCTCGGTAGTGGCACCCACCCTGTGGAACGCCCTCCCAGCAGATGACAAAGAGAAAAACAACTACCAGACTTTTAGAAGACATCTGAAGGCAGCCCTGTTTAGGGAAGCTTTTAGTGTTCAATAGACTATTGTATTTTAATATTCTGTTGGAAGCCGCCCAGAGTAGCTGGGGAAACCCAGCCAGATGGACGGGGTATAAATAATATATTATTATTATTATGCTGGCAAGGAGGTGTTTCTGTGCCCCTGCTCCATCAGCTTAATGAGGACACTAGTATTGGGTAATTGTGTGTGAGCAGGATCAATCTGTTGTGCGTTTTTAACACTTTTGCAGAATAAAAAGGATGGCAGATCTCTAAAGGGAGTGTACTACTGTGTTAATGCTTCATGACCAAAATAGAAGGCTATAATAATCTGCAAGAGGGGAAGTGCTTGCCAGCTCAGATACCTCCATTCAGCTTTCAGAAGCTTTGAGCACTGGTCATTGTGGAGGTACAGGACTTGTCTCTTTAATGTTATTTCCATATGTGGAATGGAGTCAATAAACTATGAACATCATTCCACAAGAGTTGGCTGGTCACACCCAAAGTACTCAATCAAAGTTCAGTTTAGCAGGAAGGAATGAGGAAATATTCCTACTATCTCCCAATATATTTACTTCCAAACACAAAGATACACAAATCAAGGATCTCTTGCCAGAGAAGTCCACCCAAGGCTAATCTGTAGTTGCCTCACCCCACATCAATCTATTTCTCCTGACCATAGGGAAATAAACGTTACTAGGTTGATCTGCGTCTTTGCCTAGCATGGCAAGTTGTCGATACTCTGTAGGACTGCCTAGGATAGAATTATTTAGAATTGTTTTATTCACTTTATTTGCTATTTCTTATTTTGACAACGTGAATAAATCTTTTGATTTGAGTTCTGGAATTGACACGGTATTTTATCTAGCTGATAGTCCCCTCTATGTGCCAAGTTGTTTGGTGCATGCTACAAGCTAAGAAGGAGAGAGAAAGTGAACACTCAGGCCCTGTCCGGGCAGCAACCAGAGAGCTTGCTAAAAGCTACCGTATTTCCCTCGTCTCAGGTAAATAAACTTCTTCCTCACCCAGACCTACATAGAATCAAGGGAGTGGTGGAAGTTACTAGTCAATACATTTTAAAAGTATGTTAAGCCCTGTCTGCAGCACAGGATAGGTAGAATGGCATTCTTGACGGACATGATCTTAATTGGCATTCTTTGTCCGACAAGGTGATCAAATGTTTGTCCCTGCTCAACACCCCATTTCTCGTTTGTGATACCATAAATATATAAACATTGTCATCATTCTGAACTAGCTTTGTTTGCCCTCGGCAATGCTGTCATGTAAACACTTCTGAGCTGCTACATGACAACCTCACTTGGAAGAATGGCAAACGGGCGAAATGCCTTCATGTCAAAACTGGTGCTGCTGGTCAAGTCATGGCTAGAGAGAAAAGGCCTGAAAGGAGGAGGGGAGCTCTGTATTCTGCATGGGGAGGGGGCTCTGTATTCTGAGAAACTTTCCCAATGTCCTGGAAAGCCTCCCTTTCGTGCTGAAAGGGGCACAATATTTGAGCAATATCAGTGTATATAAGTGCAGGCATAACCTTTTGCTAAAAAGCAAAACAGAACATTAATGTTTGAATAAGCTTAATGCTGGTGCAGGGAATTCAAGAACAAACTCAAGCAAGTCTTGTGAAAGCAGTCTGTCATTCTTGGTGACCTGTTATATTGCATATGTTAATGTGACCCAAGAGTATGTTTCTAAAATTCTGCTGTCACAGAACAATGAGCAGCGATAAATAATTGATATTTGATGTTTTGTGCAGCTTTCTGTGTTTCATAAACAAATAATCATTTAAATTATTGATGTTTCTGCTTGTTTGTTTTCAGCTTTCTTTGGTAAATCAGAATTTTATTTACAGAATATACATTTGTTGCAGATGCCTTTCAGGCAATGTGGAATTGTCATCCATCTGACAAAGATATTTTGTATGAGATTTTCATCATTTTGTGACGTTCGTGTTTTGTTTACACCACTTCAGTAATTCACTTCTGGGACTAAAAGTTGCTTTTGAGGTTTAAACACACTGCAGGATGCCAAAAAAGCATCAGATTCTTCTGTGTTTGAAAGCTTTTGGGCCATCAAGTGATCAAAACCTGCCAGAATCAAACTTGAGATCTGCCATTATAAATAAGGCACTGACAATTCTTATTGTGAAAGGTCATCCCAAGGGGTAAAGAAGCAAAGACAACTGAATTGCCCTTGTTCTTTGCTAGGATAAAAATGTGTATGCAATGTAGAGCTCTTTTGGAACTTTGCTTGTGTCAGTGTTTGATATGTATCAGCCTTGGAATTAAATAATTTTGATTTCATTTTGGAAAATAAAAATGTATAGCCATATTTGTCAAATATAATGTATATCTGAGGACAGGTTTTGGCCATTCTTATGTTTTCTATTCTTTACAGGCAGAATACTGCAAAATACCACGAGGATGTCTGGGTCTTTTCCATTTCAGTGTATTGAGGTAGAATGACACTTATTGCCATAGTTCAAATCACTGTATTCATTCCACAAATATAGCAAGGTACCCAGTGCTGTGCAGCATAAGGATGTTCACATAAGGGGAATTCTCCAGTTGCTCCTCTCCACTCCAGCCAATGCACTTCCAAACAGAGTTGGAGGATCATCGAGAGAAGCCTGGGATGTGGGACAGGGAACTGCAGTGGGAGAAACTGGGTAGAGGCAACTTACACCGTTATCTTTGTGATCACATTGCACTGCATACAGCACAAAACTGTAATCAGCTTCAAAAACCTAACTCTTATTGGCCCAAACTCCAGTGTATTTTACTATTTTCATACAAACACAAGCAAAAATAGAAAACTCACACTTAAATGTAGTGGATTCTAAACTTACTTTCAAATTTAAATTAAATGTGGTCACTTAATCTTTGACTCTATATTACCAGTTTATATTTTCCTCAACAGAGATATTTGACAACTACGGTTTGCAAGCAGTACTGTATATATTATAACCCTTTGGCTGGGTTTTTTTTTGGGGGGGGGTTCTGTTTTGCGATGGCATTCTGAAAATAATGCTCATGTCTCAATTTAATTTGTAATTTTAGTTTATATGTCAGTTTGAAATGCTGATTACCTTTTATGGGAGTATTTAAGTCCAAATTTTGAAAGTATGTTAGAATTAGGTTGTGTACATGATCCAGAAAGGGGCATGTTTCTGTACTCGTAGAATAACGTTTCCATATATACACACACACACCAGTTGTATGAGGAACTATATGTAGGTATTTCACACAGTTTCCCTAGCTCAATCCCAAACCAGTTGCATGTGCATAGCCCTAGTCAGGTAATTGTTTAGACCGCCCCCATTCTGTTTTCCCTTAACATCTCATCTGCACTCTTGCCAATTATGTGGCCAGAAATGCATGTGTGAAGCCAGATTAGGGCCTATGCATGTATGAGACACTTCTGCTGAATCAAGGCATTTTTCATATTCTACAATCCTCTTGAACATGTCTCAAGAAGAACAAGTTACATTCTCACACAATTTGCAACTCATTTCCACAGGGGGTACACAAGAGGAGTTTACAGCAAATTGCAGCCCTTTACCCCAATTCTGCTAAGGAAATCAATATGCTTTTCACTTGCTGGATCAGGAACTAGGGGCCTCAATCTGATTCAGATTCAAGTGTGCATTGGCATATGCATCTGAATATGGATGTTGCTCATCCATACTGCATTGCTTTCAGCTGAGTATATATTTGAATTTTAATAGCCATCCACATTCTGGTACAACTAGTCATATATAAATACATCTTTTAAATATGCCTAGAGTTGGATTAGGACACTTATCAGGCACACACATTTTAGTAAAACGCGCCAAAAAAGGGAAGCATTGAAGAGTTGCATACAAAAAAAGAAATACATCTCTCACAGATGCCAAGAAAAAGGATGGGCTCTTTATTTTTGTAACAAGCCCAACTCGTTTTGGCCACAAATGCCTTTGTCAAGGACTTAATGAACCAGTCTCAAAGCTTGTTGTTGTCAAAGTCTGTTAGGGCAACATCTCATGTATTTCAGTAACCTTTTTTAAAAAAACAAAAGCACAAATTTTCAGCTGAACTTTGGGGAACATTTCTGACACAGTATACACATTCCATAGTCATTTGCTGCTAATCTAATGTGTAAAGGCATATTAATAAATACATTCAGCTAAACACAATGCTTCCTCCAACTTGGATCCAAAGAGCAACTTGTGATACCGATCCCACTTATGCAGGTGTGTGACCACTTCTGCCAATTTCCTCTACCACCTGCAGCACCCTGCAATGTGTCATGCAAAGTTAGAAAAGGTTCCACAACCTTCAATAGTGGGAAGAAGGTAGGAAATGCCCACTGAATGAGCATAACTCTGCTTGTGGTCCTTTGGATTTAAGCTTAAGTTGTCATTCATCCTGATCAAATTCCATATTTTCCCATATATTTATAATAGACAATAGTTTTTTACAGTGCAAGTTTTTGAACTATAAACTCATGAAATATGTCATTTCAGATAGGGCAGTGCTTGGCATAAATTTTCCAGTCATTCAGATAGATGGGTAATAAAAATAATGTGCACTTTTATTGGAGATATGATAAGTAAATGTGTTATTGTCTTCAAACAAATGTGTATAGCTACCGTGAGCTTCTGAACGAATGGCAGTTTTTAACAGTAAACTTTCCTAAAAGCTGCATGAACACAAAAGCAACTTTACTGCATCTGAGGCAGGTGCTTTCCTCCTAAAATGAATTTAAAACATATGAAGAAAACTGTATTAATGATGTATATACGTGCCAATACACATATTGTGTATATACACACAATGTCCTGTGTGTTGGATGATGATCACTGTAGCTAGGGATTTACCGGTATATGTTTTTTACTGCACCTAATGCTTTGGAATTATGGTGTTGGAGGAGACTCTTGAGAGTCCCATGGACTGAAAGATCAAACCTCTCCATTCTTAAGGAAATCAGCCCTGAGTGCTCACTGGAAGGACAGATTGTGAAGCTGAGGCTCCAATACTTTGGCCACCTCATGAGAAGAGAAGACTCCCTGGAAAAGACCCTAATGTTGGGAAAGATTGAGGGCACAAGGAGAAGGGGATGACAGAGGACGAGATGGTTGGGCAGTGTTCTCGAAGCTACCAGCATGAGTTTGACCAAACTGTGGGAGGCAGTGGAAGACAGGAGTGCCTGGCGTGCTCTGGTCCATGGGGTCACAAAGAGTCGGGCACGACTAAATGACTAAACAACAACAACACTGCACCTAACATCTTATTGGTATTAAATAAATCAGAGATGGACAGATGGTGAGCCTTACATTGGATCTAACCCCTAAAAAAATGTATATGGCTCTAAGTAATGCCAACAAATTTCAAATCAAGATTTAGTAGTAGTTGGGGGTTTTTTTAAGCAGCTTCAATGGTACAAAAATCAATGGAACAACGTATTTTTTTACATTATTGGGTGATAGCCAACTAAATCATAACCAGAGTTGAGTTACTAAAATAAAAGAACTACTGTTAGGAGATTTTTGAAATATTAAGTGGTTTATAAATGCATTTCAATAAATACATTGACTTCAATGGGTTTACTCTGACTATGAGTAACAGTGGATAGCACCCATTGTTTTCCTCTCATGCATATTATGAAGGGCAAAGAACACTGAGCCAGTGTGGTGTAGTGGTTAAGAGTGGTAGTCTCGTAATCTGGGGAACCGGGTTCGCGTCTCTGCTCCTCCACATGCAGCTGCTGGGTGACCTTGGGCTAGTCACACTTCTTTGAAGTCTCTCAGCCCCACTCACCTCACAGAGTGTTTGTTGTGGGGGAGGAAAGGAGAATGTTAGCCGCTTTGAGACTCCTGAAGGGGAGTGAAAGGCGGGATATCAAATCCAAACTCTTCTTCTTCTTCTTCTTCTTCTTCTTCTTCTTCTTCTTCTTCTTCACCACTGTCAATTCTGCCTTTTGAAAGTGTATTTTGCTAAATTCATTGGTTTGCAGCCACTCTCCCTTCAATGACTTAATGCTATCTGAGCACATACCTGTGAAGCACTTACTACCAAGCAAACCAACGTTGCTATAAAGCCTGACCATCTGTGAGGGATTTGGATTGTTCCACCACCTGGTCTAGAGTGGCTCTCAAGAAGTTGAAAGTTGGCCAAGCCTGAAATAAACAAGTTTCGAAAGCAATTTCCAGAGGGCTACCTTTGTCAGTCTCTCAAAGTGAAAACAACAGAAAGTCTTTTCAAGCCTTAAAGACTAACTGATTTATTATGGCATAAGCGTTTGTGTATTATCGTCCACTTCATCAGATGCAGAATTATCCTCAGCTGGTAGACACAGGTACACTTGGCAGTGAGAGAGAGAAATGCTAGCAGTAATGCCAGAGAGAAATGAAATGAATGAAATACAGTGATACTGTATTAAAGCATAAATGTATGTAGAATAATTGCAGTGACCATTCACAAAGCAGTGTTGCCGATTATGCAAATACGATTACGCATTGGCAAAGTGATTAACACCTGTAGTGGACTAAAATTCCACTACTGCAATAGCACTAACAGATACAAGTTAAAGGTACAGAGTGCCTTGTAATTCCACTTCATCCCTATAATCTTCCTGAGAATCTCCATTTTCCTTTTACCAGTGGAGAATTAAGGCTAAAGTGGATATTCATACTTGCGTTAAAGTGTTTTTTAAATAATAGCCAGGGTTATCTATTATGGCAAACAACAACAACAACAACAACTGGGGTGAATTCAACCCAGACTTAATCTTGCTTAACCCATTGAAATGTTTAGCCTTAATCATGCTTAACTTCTGTCTTAGATTTAGGCTATGTTGTTGTAATAATGGCTAGCATATTATAGTTTGTCTGAGTTGTTTGTCTGAGTTGTGGGGTCAATGTTAATCAGTGAAGATATGAATTAAGAACACTTTTTTCTATTTTTGAGTCTATTTCAGTTTCCTGTTGTATTAAGAATCAGAATAGGCTTTTCTTTCTAACAGTGAATGGAAGCTTGTGTTAACATGCATATTTATTTAGATTTAATTGAATGATTAATTGGTGGAAATGAGATCATTAATCAACTATGCAATTCGTTAAGCATGACAGCCCTACTTTTTTTAAAACTTTTTTTAGAAGGTAATTCCCTGCAAAGATGTGGCATCCCAAATGACCCTGGGCCAGAAAGAGATTCCAGAATGTCCACTACAGAGGAACAGGTATAGCGCAGAATAAATAAATAAAACAAAAACATGACCAGCCACTTTAAGCAAGTCCCACTTTGTCATCAGAAAGTCAATTCACTCAGCTTAGCAGCATTCAATTCTCAATAACATTTTGTTCTGGGTCTCTGTCAAGTTATTCTAGGCTGTGAAATTGTCAGGAATGATGGATGACTATCACCCTTCTGCTATCTTTTTGCTTGTTCCTTAGAGATTTGCAGCTGCTGACTGCAAGACTCTTTTCTTTCGTTCTTTCTTTTTTCCAAACATGCCAAATGAACAACAGTAATTACCAGAGAGCCTACACTACAATTATTGTAGCACATAACTTTGTATCGACATCTGCAAGAGACAGAATGTTCAAGATTGATTAGTAATGATATCGCTTCCTGCTTTTATACCAATGTTCACACAGTTTATTTATTTGTATCTAATTTTCACATAAAACATTGCCTTCTCATTTCTCACTGTTCGTAACCTGTAGATTTCTACTAATTTCTTGCAATGTATAATGGTTTAAGCAAGCGTTCTGCCAATGCCCAATTAAGTTGTACAGCATTTATAACACAGGGCAGAGTAAAAGACCACATCTGTATTTGTCAGGAAAAAATAAAAAAGTTACTCTGTTGTTCCAGAACAAACTACATAAAGGTGTACAGCAGTTCAGTGTGTGGTCTGTATAATGAGGTAAAGCAGGGTGACTTGATGCATTTTCTTCCTCTCCCATCACGCTGAAGCACAGTGTCAAACTGCCTACAATGGATTAGGGCCCTTGCAAAGCCTCATGTTGCTCTGTTGTTTCTGCCCTTTACAGTTCTGTTTTCCTTTTTATCTGTGTTTCCCAAGGTCCATGAGCTACAACAGATTTTCGATATGCGTTCCCATATGCAGAATGGTAGACTGGAATTAAGCATAGCTGCTTCAGAAAGGTTGTAGCTCTGTGGTAGATAGAGTGCATGCTCTGCATAGAGGTCTCAGATTAAATCCCCGATCTCACAGAATTGCTTATCCTCCATCATCCCATTTATCAATATCAGGACACTCTTTGGAGGGGGGGGAGTGTCCTGAGCTCTTGTAGGAGTGCAAGACCAAAAAATGTGTGTCTTTTGGTTAGCTGGTGTGAACCAGCTAACTCACGCCAGAGCACTGGACAAAAAAACGGGACATTCTGGGATCCAATGAGAATGTAAGGGAAGTCAGGGAAGTCCTGCTCAAACCTGACCAAGGCAAAATAGTCTGACCAAGGCAAAATAGAATGATACTATTATTTTCCTTGATCTGGACACTAACGTTGATGCAGTTAAAAGGACTAAAGAAGCTGAAGAAGGAAGGTTTACAGCTCAGTGATGGAGCGTATATGTCACATGGAGAAGATCCCAAGTTCAAACTTGATTAAAAAAAACCTCAGATAGTAGGACTAGAACAGAATGTTGTCTGAGACTTTGGAAAGCTGTTGCCAATCAGAGTACAATGTACTGTTATACAACAAACTATGCTTACTTGAAGAAGAAGAAGAGGAGTTTGGATTTGATATCCCGCTTTATCACTACCCGAAGGAGTCTCAAAGCGGCTAACATTCTCCTTTCCCTTCCTCCCCCACAACAAACACTCTGTGAGGTGAGTGGGGCTGAGAGACTTCAAAGAAGTGTGACTGGCCCAAGGTCACCCAGCAGCTGCATGTGGAGGAGCGGAGACGCAAACCCGGTTCACCAGATTACGAGTCTACCACTCTTAACCACTACACCACACTGGCTCTACTTAGGTAAAAGTTCAGCAGTTACACTGCCTCAGTACTATGGGGGTGTGCAACAGATAATATTTTCAAGACATGCCATTTCTACTGCTACTACTACTACTACTACTACTACTACTAATAATAATAATAATAATGGATTGTGTATATGCCTCCCATCTAACTGGGTTGTCCCAGCCACTCAGAGCAGCTCCCAACAATATATTAAAAATGCAAAATAATTTGCAATTCTTATCTCAAATTTTAAAAACACAGTTTGCTATTTAGCTTCTGAGAAACACAAGCCCCAAACTTCAGTGGGCATGTAAAACCAGTAATGCAACTCTGGATTGTGACCATAGTAATATGCTCATCTATATTCTGATCAGGTATTTGAACCTAAATTTCTCACACCCAATCCAAACATAGTATTCACTGCACCATGCTGCCCCTTGGTGGCTTAAGACATGAAAACTGGTAAAAATGTATTAATGTTTATAATAAAAATTCATAGCTTATTGCATTGTAGAACACCCCCTGCAGAAGCCAATTCCATGATGTTCCTTGTCTCATCTTTCCATATCCTATGCTACTTTCAAAAGAATGAATAGTATCTGTGATGCAATATACGGTACTTATTTGTTCATTTTCAAACCTTTGTTCATCAACAATGCAGTATATATTTTTAATGGACAAAAAAATGAAAACAGTAAACATCTGCATGTAACAGATATGTAAGTACTTTGGTAAATTTGCTGGTTTATCCAAGATTAGATTTATCAAAAGAAAAATACAGACCAATCATCTCAGTGGTTTACAGAACAATCCACCCCACTTTGTGCTAGGTTGTTTGGGGGTACTGCAGCATTGGGTGGAGGTTTCCCTCCACTGGCCTCTGAGATGCCAGAGTCACTCTGATAACACATAGCTCTGCTTCCATGTACCCAATATGCAGGTGAGTGGAAGTGCGGCCAGTGTGTTCCCCAAATAAGGGGACAGTGGAAAGTTCTGGAATCAGGCATTCCAGGAGCAAGCAGGTGCTGAGCATCCTTGCATTTTTGTAAAGAAAGCCATGAACAAATGCAACAAATAAACAAGTGTATATAGGTCACCTAGCTTCTTCCCCACTTATACAATCCAATACAGTGGTACCTGAGGTTACAGACGCTTCAGGTTACAGACTCCGCCAACCCAGAAATAGTACCTCGGGATAAGAACTTTGCTTCAGGATGAGAACAGAAATTGTGCTCTGGCGGTGCAGCAGCAGCAGGAGGCCCCATTAGCTAAAGTGATACCTCGGGTTAAGAACAGTAACAGGTTAAGAACGGACCTTCAAAACAAATTAAGTTCTTAACCTGAGGTACCACTGTACTTGGCTATGAAACCCCTACATGTATAGCCCCTGAAATATTTTGTACCTAATTTTGAATTAACAGCTGATGTTCTAGAATGAAAATTAAATGACCTTTCTTTCTTTTTTTAGGGTGGGGATCCAAAAGATTGCTCAAGGAACTTTGCAAGGTAACAATAAGTTTTCAGAGGTGACATTCAACTGTCTCTGATGCAGTCAAAAAATGAGGAAGTTCTGGTTCGTGGGCAGGAATTGCATGTCTCTATAGATCCCAACTGTTGTGGCTGCATTTACCAAACATAAACCAGCTGCTTCCTGCTTTACCTTTTAACCCTGTAAATGTTATCTCTATTGATATTACACCTATAACTACAGTGGAAGAGATTTAACAAGGCATTATAGAAGCTTCTGAGTTTGTCTGCAGCTCATGCGTGCTTCTAATTGGAAATTACTGCACTGTCTTCACATAGAGATAAGGATTTATGTCATTTTATCTAGAGAATAATTTTCTCACAAGAGAAAAAATTAAAACCACATTTAATCAAACATTAATTTACCATTAATGTGTTCATAAGTTATCTTACTTTATTTAGAAATTGTCAGTAATCCTGTTTGTGTATGCATTTAAATACAAGTCAGTCACTTCCTTTCTTCCTCCTCCTACAATACTCATCCCCATTCTCATGATATTACAGTATCACTATGACAACAATCGTACTGTTTTAAGAATGCTTAGAAAGGGAGAATGAAAGTGATCTTATCTGTGCAAGTCTGCCTGAAAAAACGTATGGTGAATGAAGGAGAGCTGAAGAAAGACGAAACAATACATTTACACACACAATATTAGTTGAGATTCACATAACAGCTAGTATTAAAACCTAGCAGAGGCATATAATTTTGAGTTCATGACAGTATAACCTAAGGTTTGCAATCATGCACTCAGTTAAATAGGTTTTAAGCGAGCATATCTGGATAGAGAAGGTCATATGTATACAGTGGGTAGCAAAACATTTACAGGGAACTGGAGAAAATCCTTTCTTTGCAATGATACTGCTTATGTTCTAAGGCTGTGCATTATGATCACCAACATCTTGCCCTCAGAAGAAGTTTAGACAGTCTAATTTTGAATTGTTGACATCTCCTCGGTTTATTAAATCCTATTTACAACAGACCATGCTCTATTTTAGTGCAGCTATGGGGAATCAAGGAGCTTGTGGAGTTCTGTTCAGAACTTCTCAGTTTTATACATACTGCAGTTTTGAAATTGCAAGAGTTTGGAATCAGGGAGGAGCTGAATGAGTAAGGTTCGATCCAGACAAAATGGAGATGTTGATGACAGTTCTTCCAGTTAACACAGGAGAAGATGAAGGTTCAGTAGAAGGTTGTATTCCCATATACACTCTTGAGCTGCTCCTAGACCTAAACTCTGTTCCTGAAACCTGGCTGGCATCTATCACAAGGAATGCCTTTCAGCAACATATACTGGTGAGTCTGTGGCTGCTCCTGGAGAAGGTCAAATTGGTCACTGGCATTCAGGTCTTGGCAACCTCCAGGCTGGAGTTGATGAGGCTGCCTTTGAAGTCTGTTGAAAACTTCAATTAGTTTGAAGTTCAAAGTGTTTACTTTTAAAATACTAAAATACTGTCTTTCGATTAACCTTTGAGGGTGTAACTTGAGTAGTTTTGTCCAGCTGATTTAACAGCCACTGATAAATTATGATGTATTTTAATGCTCCTTTGGCATATTTCTTTCTTGCAGTTGTGTTATAGTTCCTTCTTTATATTTGCTGTTATCTGTTGGTTGGTGGTTTTGATGCCTTTATATTTGCTGGTCAATGCCTGAGGGCTATGTTCAGCTGATGAAGGAGAAAAAAGCCACATATCAATAACCAGGAGAAATTGGTAGACTGGAAACAGCCATGAGAGTGGCAACCACTTGACAGGAAAGTGAAGATTCTCAATGCACTATGCTTCCAATGCAGTGGATATTCTCCCATGCTTGTATATTGAAGGAGAAGGTTTCTGACTTTCATTGGTTTATCACTATCTTCCTTGAAGGTATTTCCCCATTGTTACCTTTCCAGGAAAACTGCGCTAAACTGTCCTTTGTGGTGGCTTGAAGACCTGATTGAAGACCAATGAGGTGCAGATCACAGCTTACATGTAGACCAGCCCATCACAGCTTACATGTAGACCAGCCCACAAATAGTGAATTTAGTCAGTGGTCATAAACATGGACTCAGATCATGGCTCAAGGATTGTAGGTGAGGAAGCAGTCTTGTCCCTGTCAACTTTTCCAAGGACTAACATAGCAGGACACGCTGGAAGTCATTTGATAATTTGAAAATGGCTGACAATAGTTGGGTTACGTTATAGCCAAGTGGCAATACACTTCAGGATCTAGCTCTTCAACAGATGCCACATCTTGTACCGCATAAACCCAGCAGCGAACCCCTTCCTTAGGACAGCTGGTGCAGAACTAGGCACAGTATCACAACAGCAAGTAACCTCTGTGCCCAGTTCAGATGGTCTGCAAAAGCACCATAGGACCCAAAGCACTTGCAGAACAGCATGAACTTGCCTTACTCTGAAATGCTACAAGACAAAACTACCCATTGGAACGATAATTTTATATGATTGGGAGGCTACACAGCCAGCATCTAGCAAGTAACAAATAATGCAAGAAAAAAAGCAGGTACAGGAATGGATAAGGTAACTTAAGCAAGTTCAAGGAAGGAATGAAAGTTTTCAATCTCTTGTTTCCCTGTAGCTCCCTGTGATCCCTTAAAAGGCCGCCCCAGGAAGTCAAAGGGTAGTTCTGAAATGAGGTGTAAGAGGCTGCCTGAGAGTTTAATTATCATTAGGACCCAAGTCCAATTTTGGATAACTCTATCTATCCCCCAACAGCTTCCTACACCCCATCCAACATTGTTGAGGAAGACCTAACCAACATTTCAGAGCAGCTTTCTGGGAATAGGGGTTTTGCTGGATCTAGAAAAGGATACAAAACTTTCCTTCCATAAATTTCCTTCATGTAGCATATATTAAGACCCAAGCCATAATTAGAGCATGTGTGCTGATCAGCCAGCTATGTTATTTGAGAGGGCACAGCAGTGGGGAAAATTACTTTGCTCCTGACAGTGAGTGGGCACAAGGTAAGAGTGCTGCAAGGCCTGAGGTGGTCAACAAAGATGTGGGCCTTAATAAACTGCTTACATACACCCTCAACAAAAACACCTTCAATAAATCAGACTGAGTCTGAGCTACTGCACAGCTGCATTTCTTGACCCATCCCTTATCCTTCAGAGACCATCCTTGATGTCTGCTCACCTGGAGACATTGTAGGAAAAGCAAGAAGGATAAAGGACTACGTATGTTATCTCTCTTGACAAGAAATCTTGAAAATGCAGTTATGAAAATGAAAAAAGAAGTCCCAGGAAGCCTGAAATGAGTGGAGTGGGGTGACACAGTTTGAAGTCTCTGACCTTTTACACTCTGGTTTGGAGGGGAAAATGAAAGGTCTATTCAATGGTAAGGTACTTGAAATGGAGCTGTAGAATATCTGGATATGCTGGAGTTTAAAAGTTTTAAAATAATGATAATAAGCCAGCTCAACGTCTTTATAAATTTACCATTTGTCTTGCCTACCAGCAAGACTTTCTTCAGAGAGGCTGTTTGGAAGTTGGGTTTGTTGTTGGTATCAGGAAAACTTGTCTGTTGCCTTCAAATGTTGAGATGCTTGCTTTTACAAGAAACAGTAGCATGACATGACCCTGAGGCAAGCCTGTCACCTTCATTGCAAATCTTTAGGTGCCAGGCAAAAACATTTCTCTTCTCCTAAGCCTCTGGCTAATTAAGCAACATATGGCCTTTTAAACTGGTGGTGAGGGCATTATTTTGCTTGTTTGTTACTATGTTATAAAATTTTGTGGTTTTATATTGTAAGCTGCCCTGTGATCCTCGGATGAAGGGTGTTATAGAAATTTAATAGATAAATAAATAAAAATAAAATGCCCAGTCTCTTTTCTCACCTGTAATGCAGGAGGAAGAGTAGGGTTTGGAAGAGGTCTCAGGTGTAGAATAGCATGAACAGAATCATGAGGAAAAAGACATTGAAGAAGCTGTGTCCCATGAAGATTTCCACAAATAGACATTGTTTGTCTATTTTTTTATTGTATGTTAGTTTTAAAAATAACCACATGAGAAAATGAAGAATATCAACAGGAGAGACCTTTATTTTTGACCATGAAAACAAAAAAGAGAAAGTAAACATCTGTAATATGCTTATCATTTCAGCCAAAAGTTGGCCAACAAAAGTTGTGCTTCCCTTTAGCAAAAATAAGGAATTATCTTTTGACATTCTTTCTTTAGAAACAAATGTCCATTCCACTTAGCCCATCCTAACAGCCAGATCCTTTGCTTAGCTCCTCCAGAGTATCAATTTGGTGGTGTGCCTTCTGTCTGTGCTGCCCAGTCTCCTCCTCTCTTCCCATGGTGAAAGAAGGTCTGCTGGCAAAGCAAAGGAAAGAAGAAGAAAAACAAGGTTGTGTATTTTTGTACATTGTTGAAGCGTGTGCACTTTCAGTCATTTAAGTGCCGATGTGAATTTTTATTTTTCATAATATGTAGTTAAATAACTTTTACACCTCCAATATCATTGCTCATACCATCCTTATTAGCATATTGTTCATGTTCATTTTATAACGTCATTATCATGCAGTTGTTGTTTTCATATGTGAAGGTTTGCCATTTACATTTTTCTTGAACTGAGATGGCTACTGAGAAACAACCATAGATCCTCTGCTCCTCAACAGAAGTGCCTTTTCCTGTTTCCTCATACTTCCTCGAAGTAGTATTATTTAGTTATCAAAATCTTTATGTCCCGCACTCCCTATTCTGTTGATACAACCTCCAAGGTGGCTACAGTTCCTTGTTTTACTTCCATGTGGCTTGGAGCACAGTTCTACAATGGTTCAGTTTTTTTCTTGTGATTTGTCTCCCTTCAATAAACCACACACATTAAGCCAAGAACAAACCTCGTCCAGAGTGAGAGAAACCATGAACCTGGGTTCATATGCCATGCGAAGCCAAACTTTCACTTAGTCCAGGATAACATAGCAGGAGCAGGATTAGGAAAGAAGCACTGTGGTCATGATCTTCACTCCAGGAATGCACACAAGTTGCTCATTTGCCCCAAGGCGTATTTCAGCTTTATGTTACATGTGAACCAGGCCAGTGTCAAAGCGATAAATTATTTTAAGTTCAAAATTGCTTTTAGTCTATGCTCTGAAAGCATGCTCAGATTTATATAAATAGCCTTTTAGTGCCTAGGATGGAAAAATAGGGATGAACAAGATAAACAAAGGACCAAAGCAACACGGGTCTTAGAAGAATGTGAGCCAACAATTAAAAAATAAAGTAACACCAGGAGCTTTAACTTTCTTTTGATCACAAATGTGCTATTATGATTATTAAGTAAAGAACAATATCAAAACGAATACATCAGAACAAGCTCCATATTTATGGAACGGTAGGTTTGTACTATTCTTCACTTTAAGGGTGATAATTAAAATATTTGAAACACCTACCTATAAAGCTGCAGACATTTAATATAGTGTGCAATAACAGAATTTGATAAGGATGTCACCTTTATCAAAAATCATAGTTAACTGTGTACAGCTTTTTCCTAGGGGATTTTCCAAACAGAATTAATTGTATTTCTTCAAGTTAATTTCACTAAGAAATATTATAGCTAAGCATAACATGTAATTTGACAAACAAACAAAATAACACTTTTACTTACAGATTATATATTTCTCTGACAAATTTCTGCAGTGGGGGAAAAGTGTTGCACTACCAAGAAACAAACAAACAAACAAAAACCCACCACAGAACAGTTGACCTAAATTATCTTCAATCTAAACAGCTGTTCACATTACAACACCACACAAAAGCTTCCTCTGGTTTATAATATAACTTTCATTTTAGTCTCCAATGAAGTCATGGGCAAGCACTCCCATTGTGTTTAATGTGGACAAGGTACCATTATTCTTGCTAAAACAAAACAGAAAATGAGGATAGAATTTGAAAAAACTACTGCAGTTGTTCCCAAGATGGGAATTGCTTTACCATGAATTTCTGTTCTCCAAGACTTCTGGATGGCTTTCCGATTATGGGTTGTAACTTCCTGGCAGCTGGTTGCCTATGATATCTGAAACATCTACTCATTTAACCAGCTAGAAATGGTAGTTTTAGAGCAGGGGCAGCCAACTCCCGAGGGACTGCAAGCTACTTTCAGAATTAAAATCTAGGTCAAAGTTTTTTAAGGAGGGGGAATGGACCATTTTATGCCCATTATGTTGGGGGGGTTCAATGGGGGGGGCTTTTAAGGGGAAACAGGATTAGTCGCTCACCAAATCAGCGCTGTGAAAAACTCTGTCTTCCGTTGCAGATATCAGGAGAAAATCCAGACAGGGGAGAGGGGGCGGGGCCAGGTGCTCTTAGGCAAAAGCAAAGGAAAATGAGCCCATGATCAACAGCTATCGACTGCAACCTCCCGGGGATTGACCAGTCAATCCCGATCGACCTGTTGGACATCCCTGTTTTAGTGAATTTGTTTCCAATACATTTGCATCCAAACAAATAAATGGACCCCAGACTTCCTGCAAACTAAATAAAAGCAAAGTGCTCTACAAATATCTAAGGTATACCAACGGTGTTCTTGAGGATGAGTAGAATTAGCTAAGAATGAGGGTAAAATTATTTCCTGATCACTGTGGAAGAAAAAAAATCATGTTGTGGACAAGGACCTTATCTGGCCTAAAGACCATTTTGTCAAAGTGAGGAATTAACCCCCTTCAAGTAACAGGTTGAGAGGAATAGTATTGGGCAAGATCAGTAAGACTCATCTTTTATCAGTATAGATGTCGTTTGAGACTTTTACTGGTTGAATTTGTTTTGATTGGTTTTAATGTATGTTACTTTGAGGCACTTACAAATAAATAAATAACTTCTTGGAACAACTATTATGCCACACCTCAGGGGTGCAAATTGATAACTGACCATTTACATTACTCCTTAAAAAAAGATTCTAGGCAAAGTTACAAGGACTCTTATATCATCAGGAGGAATCAGTATATGACATTATTTCCCCTGGCTCTAACTCTACGCTCAAGGACTGTGCCAAGAAATGGGTTTACTGAAGAACAAGAATTGCAGTTATTTAATGGAAATGGAGCTATGTACAGCAAAGACAGAAGCACTCTCCATCATCATAAGGTTATGCTTTAGGTTTCTATTTTGCCCTAATATTTTATATCTGCTTTCCTTTTGGAACACACATCAAACCATTTAAAAGCTTTTGTTTCTGGTAAAAAATCACTACAGAACTAAAGAATATTAAGCTTTATAACAAAAATCCTTGAAAGAGTGTATTGCAAAAAAAAGAACAATAACAACACAATTACAGTTTTTGCCAAGGAACTGTTTTTAGGATTACTTCCTGACTCGCAGGAGAGACACATAAGAAGAGCCCAGCTGGACAAAACCAAAGCCCCATCTAGTCCAGCATTCTTTCCCCACTGTGGCCAACCAGATGCCCTTTGGAAGACCATAAGCGGAACATAAATGTAACTGCACTGTTCCCCAGAAACTGGTATTGCAATGATAGCTTGCACCTACCAGGGTTTATCAGAATTCCCCAGAAAAGTTCACACTGTATTTAAAAACAACCTTTACATTCCTTGAAATTCCTTGCCTAAGCAGAAATCTCCAATTTTACCTTGCAAATTTGATGTTGGCAAAATTTCGCAGCAACTCAAGTTGCTTCTACTATGCAGAAAAGTTCAATTTCTAATGGATTTTTTATGATGGTGGCCTATAAAGATTTTGGTTTATTCTCTAGGTTTTTGCATTGGTGAGCATGTCTGAGCACATTTCTGTTTTGTAACAATCTAGATGATAAATGCAAACTTCTTTAAGCAGCACTGAAATGCTTCTAAGTGAAAAGATTACCCCACCCTTTTTGAAGTGATACTAAGAAATGGCAATACTTCTTTAAAAAAATGAAAACAGATTTAAAACTGCTATTAAATGCTACTATTTCTGGAGTTTGTTTGTTTTTTTTAATGAAAGAGGAATAAGAAAGCTGATACTGAAGAGAACCTTTGTTACCATAGATACTGGGCAGGTGTGTCATTTTCAACTGTAAGCATAAATTTGATAAGAGGCTTCTCTGCAATGGTACCTGAATAACGTACAGAAGATGTGCAGAAAAGCACGGATGGGGTGGGGGAGAGACTGAGCTAGCTCACACCTCACATTTATCTCACAGTTGATCTGCTATCCAGTCTTTGAAATTTCCATTAAAACAAAGGGAGAACAGGTTTTTAGAATTTACTGGGCTGTGATCTCTCCAATCTGTTCACCCTTCACTCCACCACCTTTTGCGTAGATATTAATTCAAAAGGCTCTTGCAATGGGTGACATTTCTAAACATCTGAAAGTCTTTTTTCAGAGCGCTGTCTTCAATGTACAGAAGTTGAGAAATATTAATTTCCCAATGGAGATAAGTGAGAAAAATATTGGCTGGGGAAGGAAGGAGGAGGGCAAAGAAGGATGCATTGCAGTTAGTAAGCAGCTGTATAGAAAAGAGAGAAAGTGTTTAAAATGCATTTCAGAAGAATTTAATGTATATTAATGATGCATTCTATGAAACCAGCAGGTTGTCAAACTTTTACCATATCAGCAAAATTGCATCACACTACCCTGAACTTTTATGAACAGAACGGAGACAAAAATGTCACTTTTAAGAATTTTAAGCAATTTGCCCCACTTCAGTGCTATCCATCCTGCTGCTCATAGGAGGACAGCTAAAACCATTTCTAAACCTGGTGCAGCTATTTATTTGGTAAAGGCTGCTATACTCGCCCTCTGGAAATCAAGTGCACACTGCTCAATCAGCACAACATGTACTGAAAAATAATAAACGCATCTAATTTGAATCATGAATTTTCATAATCACTAAGAACCCATACATACAAAAAAGAGTTATAACATCTAAATTTGATTCTGGAGCACACATTTCACATCAAGATTGCATACCTAGGTAGACAGAGACCATTTAGGCTTGCTGAAAACTAGGACAAACCACATCCCACTCTGAAAGCAAAACCTATTAGTCTATGGAGCCACGCCAAGATAACTACCACTTATGGAACAGACATTTAGCAGTTTTAAGTTATCCCCATAACTGTCATGGCAGATGGGGTGTTTAGGAGATGACAGCCCCTATGCACCATGTTTGGGGCCCGATAATAGGAACACTCACAAAACTAGTGCACAGCCAAATCTTTCAACTAATGTTTTCCACCCATTTGAAAGGGGTGGTCGTGGTCCCCAAACAGGAATTCTTCAGCTACAGAATCCTATGATGGCAGCCCTGAGAAGATGAATCCACTCTGCTGT